GAAAATTGTGGCGATCACTTGCAGAAGTTGGGTCTCTGCACGCTCAACCACCGCCTTGTAGGTGCTAGGTACTTACTGCTAATGGGATAACCAGTGGCCAGACTCATATAAACACAGTGACCATGTTTATGTGTAACTTCAGATTCTTTACGGAAAAACTCAATGGATCATTCATCAAAGACCTAAATTAGAAGGCAGTTCCACTTCTTTTTAGTTCGAGGACGTTCACAGTGCCATCAAAATAATCATTCATGAGGTGTCTAGATAGTCACACATCAACATACCAATCGTCTTTCAGAGTAGAGAGAGACTTACTCACTACTTAGTTCACCACTAACAGGTGAAGCCGATTCAACCGTCGCCATATTATGTACCAGCCACTTCGGCCAGTTATTATCCCCTGCTAATGTGAATTCTTGTTTGCCTTATTTTCATCTCATCTACTTAGTCATTTCTTTTTGGCTTCCTTTCCGACTCCAACGAAGTTAATACAGTCATTTCATCTCTTCGAATACAGTGAATAACCAAAAATATAAGGAGGAGATCATGTGAAAGAAGCATTTATGGCATGGTATGAGAGCCGATTTGAACTCAGTCAGTTTATCAACATCATGGTGTCCACAATGAACACGGAGAAATCTGATGAAAGGTACAGCAGGATGGAAAATGAGAAAAAGCGATTCATCCCATTACTTAGATACAAAGCACATATCTGAAGAAACAACGGATACAAAACTCAGGACCACTTTTTTATTGAAACAAATAGTCAGCTACTTTCCATAAGAACGGACCAACATTCGGTCATTCAATATTTCCAGCATATCCTATATGGAAGGGGTGTTGCATACAACATTATCAGATCGACTCGATGAAATCGTTCCTCAACCTCAGGAAGCTAGCATAATGGATTTTGGCGTCGCACATTTATGACGTAATTTTATAAAGAACACCTGAAAGATGATTATCTTACTAGCCATCGACAGAAGTTCTAGCATAAGGGTGAGACATGACAGACGATGGGCTAACAGACAAATGGGGAGGGAGTCACCGGGACTGATGCCTTCTACCTCTATGGTTGTACACGGTGTTCAAGAGCTTGGAATGGGCACTGCTTGTAAAAAACGCATGCATGAGGTACAGCAATGGAGATGGTTGTCATTTCAGATGGCCGTTGGCGCTTCTGGAGCAATCTCCATTTTCTGACCACCTCGGCGCGCTCATCCCACACTGATTGGCTCTCCAAAGCTGCTAAGTGTCACATTCAACTCCGCGGTGCATTTGGCCAAAGCACTTCGACGGTGGTATGAGACCAAGGGAAAAATGGGGGGACACATCAGACGCTGCGAAAGCAGACCCCGAACCATAAGGAGGCAGCAAACTGAGGCTTTAATAGGTCCTCAAGCTTCAGTGACACCAGAATGATGTAGTACTGAGAACAATAGTTTGTGTCACTCAAGTGTCCTATCTAAATCCATGGATAAACTACAACGGGCCGGTTCCATCGGACAGCTTCATGTCAACTACCCCAAAACAAACGAAGGTTGTGAGACTCACTGTCAGCTGCCTATATAGCAGTGTGAGGGGGCTGAGACGAAAAGTAGGCGAACTCCGAAATCTCCAAACACACATGCAACTTAAAATAATCATTCTCATTGACACCTGACTAACCCCCACTATCGCCGACAACGCAATCAGTATAGGTGATATAGCTCTGGTCAGGAGAGACAGGGATAATAAGGAAGGAGGATGAATTGCTACATACTTTGACAGGCAACTTAAATGTGTGCGCGCAACAGACCCACCACTTATTGAACTCCAGGACGCCATATGGTGTCATTTAAGCGTAGGCCACACCGAGCATTTACTGGGTGGCATCTACCGATCACCCACCTGTGGGGCAGAGCGCAACCAGCTACTGCTCAGCACTATCACAGGGATAAGGGACTTGGGCTATGAACAAATCACCATAGCTGAAGATTTCAATGCCCCATCAGTGAACCTTGGCTCGGGGTATGCTAAGGGATTAGTAAAAACGGTTATTAATACAGCAATTTCAGATACCGTCCTTTTAGTCACAACACAGCCCAAAGAAATTTATCATGCTTAAAGAGACACGCAACGCATTCTGCAAGCAAAGCGTAAAGCTTGATTTACGCGGCACGTATCTAAGAGCCAGTTCGACCACGACGCATACCAGGAACTTAGGTACCGGTGCAACGCGAGATTCAGGAGTGACAGGATGTCATTTCAGGCTAACCTTGCAAAAACTCCTAGCAAACCCCAAAAACTTGTATCGATTCATGAAGGAAAGAAAACCAACCAAACAGGGCATGCGCCTTAGTGGGCCCAAACGGTCAATATCTCACCAGTCTGGAGATGGCTGAAACATTCAGTTTAGCCTTCGCCAAACAGCTAAACAGTAATGTAGGTATTACCGTTACAGACCAAATTGGTGGCTCTACTATTTTACAGGAGGAAGACCTGTTTGTTACTCCCCAAATACACCCGGCAGTAGTACCAGGGAAGCCACAGTGACTCACACCTGGGAAATCCCCAGGTTGTGACGACATCAAGCCATCTGTTCTGAAACAGTGCTCAGAGGCCCTCTGTAGGCCCTGTGCGACTTGTTCCAGCACTCAGTGGATTCGGGGAAACTGCCAAGGGAGTGGAAAAGAAGCATCCTTTGTCCGATCTTCAAGGGTGGGGATAGGCGAAATCACACTAGTTATAGACCAGTAGCTCTACTTCCAGTGGTATCAAAAGTACTGGAAAGTATTATTGACGATCACATCAGGAAATACCTCGATACGTCTAATACACTCCATGAAGCCCAACACAGTCTCAGGAAAGGCAGATCCTGTGTAACAAACCTACTATCATTTTGAGACGATTGGACATCATGCTTTGAGAAGGCATTTGACACCGTTCACCATGACCTTCGCCTACACAAAATAAGTCAGGCAGGTATAGGTAAGCCACTTCTGTCATAGTTAAAGGACTGAAAGGAAATTTCGCACTAAGGTCAATCGAGCCCGATCATCTTGGAACAGCTCGTCATCAGGAGTGTCGCAGGGTTCTATCCTAGGACCACTGATGTAACTGATTTTTATCAATGATCTACCATGCCGTCTAAGCTGCCCGACTCTTCTATACGCTGACGACGTAAAGATGTGGAGGGCGATAAAGTGTCCGGAGGCCTCAAGTAGGCTGCAGGAAAATCCAAACCTCCTTGAAGACTGGGTGGTGGCCAGCGGCATAACCTTCAACCGGAAAAAGTGCAAGGTAGTGAGGTTACGCACCTGAAGACTGCAGAATGCCAGCTACACCCTGTGCAATGAAAGCTTGTCCTGCTCAACGTCGGAGCGCGACTTAGGTCTAGTTCTAACGGAAAACACTAGTGTGAGTTACACGGGGGATGTAGCGAGGGCATATGCGGTCATACACTTTACACATAGACAATTAGGTGCACTCACTACTGAGCTCTTTCTAAGGTTGTATAAAACATACGTCAGACCGCATCTTGAAGTGCATAATATCATTGCACCCCCACTGCTTAAAAGAGACGCCAACCTCTTGGAAAGAGTCCAACGACGGGCAACAAAAGGAGTGGTTGGTCTCCGAAGCAAACCATATAATGAAAGGCTGAAGAAATTAGGCCTATTCACACTCAGCTACCGTCGGCTTTGTGGGGACTTAATTACTGCCTACAAAATAACAAATGACCATAATCACCCAAACGAAGGTGTTCTGCCATTGAGTAGGTATAGGCTCCCTCGTGGATATCCCAGAACGGTAGCTCACCAGAGGGCAAGGAGTCGGGTGCGCTCCCACTTACTTTCACTGCGGGTTTGCCGTCCCTGGAATTCCTTACTGGCAGATGTAGCTATGGCACCGTCTGTGGACGCCTTTAAGTGAAGGCTGGACAACCATGCGGCGACACAAGGACTGCATCCAAATGGCCTATCCCCTTAAAATCGCATATACCATTCAGAGGTAGACAATTAAACTGGTCGTTTTACTTCTTTACATTCTCTTCCGTCTTACTCTCCTGACAACTTTAACTACACCTATTATTATTATCATTATTACCGAGATATATATTATTCATATCATTCTTCAAATTTAATCAGCTGACTGTTGTTACGTTTTCTTTATTTCTTCTTCTGTCTGTTAGTCTGAATAAGTTTACCAATTATATCTATTATTATTATCTCCTTTCTTTTGATGACGATACCGAAGGACTAACTGGTAAAAGGACCAACTCCATCCACAGTAGTAACAGACTTAACACACCTCATACTACAAACCACATATAATTAATTACTGCACTACTCCTTTTGGAGTCAACCAAAGCTACGACAGTCGAGTGGGGGGACGAGCTACGCAGCAGTTTACCGAAGACCAGGAACCTTTACCTCACAATCAAGAGGTGAGCACAAAGAAATCAAATTGGTTTAAGATATAAGCTACTGCGCTACCACTGGTTTATCGCTTACATAGATTGAAAACTCAGTGAAGTGGCCACAAGAAGTAACAAATTTCGTACTCGTTTTCTGTAGTTTACGTATGACTTACAAGCTAAATCTCCACGATCCGTCCTGTCTTCTCTCACTGTACCGACTACTCCATCTTTTATTTGGTCACCTTTATTATTTCACTTATCTCAACCTATATTATCTACACTACAACCAATTATTATTCTACTTTTATGACTACACCGAATGACGGGTGTTAGGTCAAACTCCATTCACGGCAGCAGCTGAGTCCCAACATACTGCACACTACAAACCACAGTCTTGACAAATCCTTGCACCACTCCTCTTGGAGTCTACCAGAGCTAAAGCAGTCGAGTGGCGGGATTTACTACACATAAGTTCACCGAAGATCTGGAACCTCTACCTTACAATCAAGAAGCGAGCTCAAATAAATCACTGGATATTGGATATTAGCTCGTAAAAACGATATTGGATATTGGAACCCATGACATTTCTTTAGCTAAGCTCCTCACCATGGCAATGTGACAGTAAATTTTTGAAATGAGTCAGCGCCGCATACTACAAGGTAGGCCTTTTTTCAACCTACTTCACCAATAGATTTTGAGCAATATCAGAAATCGAGAACAAAATTTGTTCAAACGGTTGCTGAGCTTGCCGCTCAACCCCAAAACATTGAAATCCTTCAGAATTTGGGAGTATTGTCGTTGTTGAGGCCTCTACTACTAGACACTGTACCAACTATCCAACAGACAGCAGCTATAGCCTTAGGAAGACTAGCAAATCACAGGAAAGACTTAGCAGAAATTATTGTTAAGGGGGATATCTTACCACAACTTGTTTACTCACTAGGACAACAGAATGTAAGTTACAAATAATTTATAGTTTATAATAGTAGAGATTTTACAAAAGAGCGGCAGCGTTTGTATTAAAATCAATCGCAAAACACTCTGCAGAGTTATCACAGAATATAGTTGATTGTGGAGCACTAGATGCTCTTACTGTTTGTTTGGAGGAGTTTGATCCGGCTGTGAAAGAAGGTGCAGCATGTGCAATCGGCTGTGTAGCGAAACATTCGGCTGAGCTGTCTCAAGCTGTGGTAGACGCAGGTGCTGTACCACTGCTAGTATTATGCGTCCAAGAACCTGAGATAAGTCTTAAAAGAGCAGCTGCCTGTACATTAGCTGAGATAACTAAACATACTGCCGATCTTGCTCAATCTGTTGTTGATGCCGGTGCCATTGCTCACCTTGCTCAGTTAGTATTAAACCAGGACTCTCAACTGAAGGTTTGTTTGAAGCATTCCTAACTAAACTGCTTAGCGACAAGTGTTTGCAGCTTTATCTACAATTGCGAAACATTCTGTTGATCTGGCAGAACTTGTTGTTGAAGCAGAAATATTTCCTGCTGTGCTCGTATGTCTCAAAGATACAGACGATATCGTCAGAAAAAACTGCGGAAATCTCGTTAAAGAAATAGTCAAACATACTCCAGAACTTAGTCAGTTAATTGTAAATTCTGGTGGCATCGCTGCAATAGTTGATCAAATCGGGGATTCGAAAGGATTCACATGTCTGCCAGGAATCATGGCTTTGGGATATATAGCCGCTCACTCAGAAACTCTGGCGATGGCCGTAATAGTTTCCAATGTAGGTTGTTCTCCTTAAGTAAATTTTCTGCAGGGAGTTTTGCAGCTAAAATGTGTACTGTTGAGAGAACCAACCGAAGAATTACAAGCTGCTGCAGCATGGGCTCTTGGGCAGATCGGTCGTCATACCCCAGAACATGCTAAGTCAATTGCCCAGGCAGATATATTGCAAGTTTTACTGGATTGTTACTTAAAGCCAAATGCTTCTGAAGATCTGAAGAATAAGGTAGTTAAATTGTTTAAATTCACTTTGTTTTCAGACTAAAAGAGCACTGAAACTTATAATTCAGAAGTGCATCAATTTAGAAGCATTAGAACCTCTTCTTCAGAAAGCACCCCCAAGCATATTAAAGCATGCAATCGCGCAGTTTAGCAAAGTACTACCGCATGATAGCAGGGCGCGTCGATGTTTTGTGGCATCCGGAGGTCTTAAAAAAATACAAGAGCTGAAAGACGATAATGAAGGTCTACTGTCGGAATACATTAATGCAATAAATAACTGTTATCCAGAAGAGGTAGTGCGCTACTACTCTCCCGGGTATGCCGAGACACTAATGGAACGTGTAGAAGCATATCAAATACCAATTTAAGGTTCATTTATGATACGTAATATGATTTTCCCTTATCCTCAAATTTCAGATTGCTTACCTAATCATGTATTGCTAATCTATTATTCTTCTTGACCATGAGACAGAAAGAAATACATACAAAATATCTCTAAATTAAACTTGTTAAAAAAAGCATAACTTCTTAAAAGTGTGGAATAAACGAAGTATTTTAAATGTGTTTCATTACGTATTTGAGCAATTCGATTTTAACCATTTCAGGAAAATAGACAAGGATGCAGTTAATGCAGAGCTAAGATGTTAGAGTATTTCTGCAGAAAAAATTCGAATTAGCAAGTTTAATTTGAATTGCAAGATTTGGGAATTTCTTCAAAATATAAAACTTTATTCTCTGAGAAAATGGGTCCACCACTTCACAATGTATTTAGATGTACAAAATAGAGGATCAACACTTAGTACTAGTTTGAAAGAACATCAAATGATACAGCCGAGAAACGTGATTTGTAAAAATAACCTTTAAATAAATACCCACTACCTAACTCAAAATATCAACAGGTGGATTTTGGAGAGCTCAGTATACTTAGACCAAAATATAAAACAAAGATAATCTGCGTTGACAGTGTTACTTATAAGCGAGAATATTTACTGACGTGATAACTTACATACACAATAAACGCAAACTTACATTTCAGCAGTCTGAGACTTCGTTAAACTAACTTATATGATAAACAGACAAGCAACCATTTTCTGTGAAGTGCATCTATAGTCTGGGCAACACCAGAGTGATAGACGAGAGAAAAATGCAGGATGAAAGCTAGTAACTACTTCTTAATAACTAAAATTCGGAATGTCAACAAACACACTGTTATTTAAGACATTAGTGAATGAATAGGAGAAGAAGAGATAGCTTAACAGTTTCGACTCCAAATAGTTAGTATCCAACACAGTTAACTGTATAAGACCAAAAAATAATTAGACCTACAAATCAGAATCGATTCATAGATTTCAAGAATACAACAATTTTAGCAATCCTCAGGATATTATATTGCAGTAACCTGGTATTTTCATGACATGAAGTTCCGTTAGGTAGCTTTTAGACTAAAAGTAGTTACCATCATACAGAAGGCTGTTCATCCTGTTAAAAGTCTAACAGTGGATTCATATTGTAGGCGTTTGGAGGTGAAGTTTCAATAGGGTGCCAACCACTGAGTCATTTATACCAACTTCTCGCTCTGTGGAAGGGTTAGAAAATTTCAGATTCGAAAGTGGTACATCTAAATTTGCACTACAGCGACCGGTAGCTGGTGACAAAATTTCTGTAAGGATGAGACCCCACCCTCAAACAGGCTGTGCGTAATGGAATTCAAGCAGTTTTGTCAACTAACTGTACAACTGCTTTTCTATTTCGGATACTCGTAAAGGAAACCGATATCCACAGATCGAGCAGCCAGAAACAAATAACCGCTCATACACTTGTGATCATACAGAACTCTTCTATTCGTTATCCACTTTCTCCATATTCTTATTTATTTCTTACTTCTAATACCATTCTCTAGGGTAACTGGGACTACTGCTGTTGACTTCGGCCAGGGGAAAATTGTTCTTCGTCTCGTTAAAACCAATGTCCGATTATTATGCCTTACGGAACAGCAGGTCTCGCTAAGCAAAATTCTAGTACTTTGGCGATTGACTATATGTTGTGTTATTAACAAAATTCTGCAACACCCGAAGATAGTCACAAACTTAACTCCTTTTGTTCAGCAAAGTGAATCATCGGAATTCTCCAAACTAATGTCAGGGGATCCCTTAACTAGTTCTCAAATACTTTGTAGTGTGGGCATAACATTGTGATTTTGGTACACCGTTGTTGGTTTACTACTTCAAACTAATGTGCCACCAGTTAGAAACCCCACCCATCTACTTAGATTTTGTTCAAATTCAGGATGAAAATGCTGATGCTCACAAAGATTTAAAGGTTTCATGAGAAGTAAATGTAATTGCAGGTTTGGTCGCGAACTGACATCAGTTGGAGAACCACTGAAGAACCAAGGAGTACTTTGCATGCCAGGCGTGAGGAAACATACTCGTCCATGATATAAACTAGTCGTCGTGCTAAAATTACGAATTTGTAGAAGTTGAAATTCGCGGGTCATTGACTCGGGAGTCAGTGGCTGAATGGTCTACGATCTTGCTTTGTAACCAGAAGGTCATGGGTTTGAAGCCTGGTGAACAGGTACTGATGAAGAGTCTGTGGTGATGAGATAGTTGTCCAGTACTCATTTGTTTTCTGGTGGTTCTCTCACTAATGTCAACTCGTGATCAAACCTGCAACCAATCACATCCCTGCAAACCAATACTTGGCAAATGTAATTAGCAACACACGAACACTTTAATCCCTGAGAGCAGAAGCGAAATATATACTGATGGACATTTTAACAGCATACTATGAATTTTTATATCAGGGAAAAAGTGAGCAAATGGTGTCAACTAAGATTGAATAAGGGTTCACTCCTTTTAGAGGAATAGAGTTCTTCCCAACAAATTAAGAAATCGTGAATTAGACTCGTATTTTTATCCCCAGACCTACTGCATTTAATACACGGACGTTTTATAGTCAGAATTGGAAGCCACCATGGTTGTGTGTATTCGTTGCAAACTCAACTTGTTGGAAATGACAGGAAGGCATCAAAAATATTGTTTCATTAGACGCATTGGCAACCTCATTGGTGTTTTAGGTAGAACTAACTGGCTTGTGAGAATCCTGACAAAAACTACCCACGGTCTATGATCATGCTCAAAACTACTCTGCAATGCAGGAGACCAAAAGTGAAACGCCAACCCTACATATTGTTCCATCCAGTTAGATATGCGAAATGTAGGCAGAGTATTATAATAGAATGTATGAAAACCATACACTTATATCTCAGCCTATGGAATGCCACCATTAATATATGTGTAAAACTTGGGCACTGTGGTTGCAAGTAATCCCATATTAGTTTGTTTATTAGATGTATCACATAGTGAAACAGTATTATTTACTGGATGACGTTTCGTTACAATTGATATGATTATGAACAGTAAGTTTTGTTCTAAACGTCATCCAGTAAATAACACTTTCACTGTGTGATACATCTAATAAACAAACTAATATGGAATGCTACCATGTTTTGCTTACAACGCTACAGTTCTAGTCTTAACGCCCTGTGTAATAACAACTGGGACCTACTAAAGACTCCCCAATTCAGGTGAAATACTTTTCTAGCTTCCTCTGTGTGTTCATTTGTGATGAAATCTTCCTTGAGATATAGTAGTTCCAAATAAATTCCGTTTACTACGATTGCAACAGGTGACACTGACATTAAGTAGTTTGATATGAGCTTTCTATATATACAGACTACAACTAACTCCTATCCGCTATCAATCAACTTCGTATATCCCGGTAATCTAGCTGCCAATATAATCTGCACCGAGTTTTCTTATTATTTAATTCCCTAGAGTCCCCAGTGAAACATAGGACTTCAAGCTCGAGCTCTGAAGTTCTCCAAGCGATGATTTCTTCTTTTATGAAGTGAGATTGCTAGCCTCACGCTCAACCTTCCCTATGTACCAGGCTTACTACCCGATAAGTGAGGTTTGGGAGCATATCGGTTGGAAATGAAACCTCAAACCACATACGTGGTTGGCGACCACTCTGCCACTGAACCACCGAGGCACTATGATTTCCTATTGAACACATTTCACTCAAATTAACTGATGATTATGCCTCAGGGAAGTACCTGTCATGTTATGAACACACTTTATAAGGCCATATCCAATTTAAATCCACCTGCTTGGTACAAATGAAAGATATACATATACTAAATTGAACAGCCAGAATACGATTAGTGTAAACGTCTTAGTGTTGCAGAAGAAGAAGATCGGCGTTGAAATATTTAACGATACAAGGATACTGATGCCACAAAGAAGTGAAACAATACTCAGCTAACCATAATTTTATTGATTCTTTGCTCATATCATCATAGCCCCACACAAAAAGAATCTAACAATTTTATTAAATATTCTTTGATAAGCAAATTTTAGTTAAAAATCATAGAAATGCATACTGAAATGTTTGATATTTTCAGAACACGAAATATATGTGGATATTATACATTACATAAAAATATTTAAACACTAGAAATTAAACCTCAAATAATTTGATCAAATCAGAAGGAAAACAAAAGTATTACAAAAATAAGCATTCTTGTGCAAAAGTTAAGTAAATAAAAGAGGAAATCATTAAAAAAAAAACCTATATGCGAAGAGACCGTTCTATATCATCACGTAAATAGTCTATCACAGAAGGAGTTGAAAGCACTAACTGAACTGGTATATCCATTGTAAATTTTTCAGTTTGTATATTAGGAGGAAAAGTCCACACGGTGCCATAGGATCGTTTCACGCAGGTTTTACCATTAATGTGATCAAATACATCTTTTTTACTACTTTCTGAAATTAAATCAAATTCTAAGTGTAAACGCCATCGATAATCTAAACCAATGTAAGGACTAGATAAACTAACAGAATGAAATTGTGGTGTAATATTACTCGGTATGGGAATAGTAAAGGGTAACATTAGTTTTGACATACAATTCAATGTAATATCTGCCCCTGTTGCATATTGAGTAGTGCCTGAAAATGGGAGAAAACGACAAAAAAGCGGTTACTTTTAACTGTGTGCAAGGTGAAAATAAAGAGAATAAAAATTATTGTGAACAGTACTACTGTGTACTTTGTTGTATTAATAACAAAAATAAGATAGTAATGCCATAGGTGGAACTGTCGTCTATAGTTTTATAAGTGGTATGACTATATGTTTATAACCCCATAAATGATCTGGAACGGCTGAGGCTGGATAGACTTCGATCTTCCACTCGAAGTCCTCTCATGTCGTCACGTGTTCATCACTTTCCTCTTCGAGCTAAGTCTAGTTCACTGCTTTCAGACGACACGCGTGTTCCTTACAAAAGTGAAAAGGAGAATGAGAACGTCTGGAGATTACATCTGGACTGATGTACATGTCGGTCTACCTATGGGAGGTGGAAAACCCTGATTAAAAAAAATCTATGGTTTGCATTCGCTTTCAAATCCTGTTGCACTAAATGGAATTAGAATCTGTCTGGGTCACCAGAAACAATGGGAACATAACTCTTGACACTACTGCATGGTCTAATGGAAAAGACTTCAAATTAAAGGCTCTAATGACAACCGCCTACCTAGGTCTGGGTAGTATCCCAGACATCGCGTTTTGTGTAATGCATCTCTTGATGTCCAAAATATGCCAAGTTTATGTTTTAATGATAATAAATAAATGAAATAAACAAGCTAACACTAGAACATCTAAGGAATATTCTGATATACTTCAGTTACTCCCGTCGACAAAATGACCTTCACCTACATTGCCGTATACATTTTTACTAACAAACAAAGTGAACTAGATAAATAAACATACCTAAAGGTTGAAAATTTGTACAAATAGGTTGACCAATATTAGACAAAGGAATACAGCCTATGGAATAGTTCTGAACTTCATCATTTCTGGTTGAGATTTTACAATCTGACAATAGGAAAGGATTTTCATTATGTAGCATATATTTCTCTTCACACTCCAAACTTATAACGCATGTGAAACATGGCACAACAGCTTCATTGAAGTCAAAGTAACCACGTATCATGTCACCTAGGCAGAAGAGAGTCCGTTGAAAAGATAAACGACCAATACGTCCACGTGAAGTGGAAATTACAAAGTTGGCTGGAAATAAAGATAGAAAGCACTATAGATAAAAACAAACTTTTATACAGCAGATGAAAGAGAGTAAGCATCAAGTAATAAGAATAACAATTCAACTGGAAAGAAGTTGACTTACGTTTAATGGCTTAATAATTATTCACGCTCGATTCATAATGCAGCAAGCTACAAGTATTTTGTCAACGTGTTCATAGCAAATTAAGAAATAAGTCAAAATAATCTTAACATTATGGGATGTTGTTCACTAAATAACCATAATTTCTTAAGTATTTGATTTCAGTTTTGCGTGAACAACATAGCTGTTCTTTAGCATGTGAAGATACTGGCTTAAGAACCTGACTTCAGCCAGTGTGTATCGGGTTCACATTCCATTTCACAAACATAATCCTCGATAACTGGGTATTATAATCAGGCATCGCACTGTAAGAGTGGCCTATAGTCTGACATATGAAAAATATGTTTCAGGTAACTGAGTCCTGACTATCCAACTGTCTACCGCTGTCTTTTCAAACTCACTGTAGTAGCATTCCTACCTATTTGACGAACCAACCCAACTTCGTACACTGAAGGTGCATCAATCCACTTTGTCATGATGCTCCGAAAAGCACACATATACAACTTGATAAAGATGAGCGGAGAAGACAGTGAATTCTTACGCCCATTCTTTTTTAACATATTACATGTTGATACTACAGAACTCGAACTGTTACGCCTCTATACTATATACAGTCTATACCTTTTTGTTTGACACTAAAACTGTTCAACTTATAAGTTTTGATTCGAAAAGTTGGATAGTAACATCAAACATTACGAACTTGTCTAGCTTAACTAGGCTTTAAAACGTCCAACATTTGCTTTCTAAAACATTCAAGACTGGTATGAAGGATTAAACTGCAACAGAAGTACGAAATAACACTTATTAAGAACTCTTCTAATGCTTAAACTACCACAGGATTCATCCGATTTAAAAGGTTTACAAATATTCAAAGCAATAAGCTGTTATGATGGAGTGGTATTAGACTGTGGGTTGATCTAGCTTGACTAGAGTGCGAATCCAGAACACGAGACTATGCACCAATTGACCACTTGAAAATATCTCTTAAACTGAGATAGACACAAAAGTCAGACTGGGAAAAATGACGACCGGAATGACAACCTTTTATTAGACAAAATTTATGGTATATTGTTTTTTTTTAAACCTCATAAATTTAAGCCATAAAGAAACGAAATGAAACTGTCCTGTAAGGTTATCATACCTTCTCGGCTGATAGTAAAGCTTGTCCGACCTAACGTAAGCCGACAATCGTACAAATAGACCTGTATACTTTGTTAGCTATTCGAATAGTCAAGATCGTTCATATTACGGGAATAATCATTGAGTAATTTGCTTAAGATTTTAAACTATTCCCTCAAAACATATTTCTTTTGAAAAGTAAGTAGCTAACATATCAACAAATGCAACGAAAATCACAGTATTATATATATATATATATATATATATATATATATATATGTACCAGGTGGTGAAGTCGCCAATATATTCATTAACTCTTCTTGTTTAGAAGGGTAAATATATACTTTCTTAGCATCTTGAGCAGATTGATCTGAGCAACTGGGTTCCTCATACTGAGAAACACCAGGAGATAACTCATCAGAAGATCTAGCAATTTTTTCCTCCCACAAATAACCGCTACTACCTTCTCCTCGTCCACGCATAGGAGAGCACTCATCAAAAGCAAAACTGAAGTACGAGTTTTCTTCTCTTGTATCAGGAACCCAAAATGGATTTGATGAGTGGTCAGGTGGATAGCCTTCCTTTTTAGCATCATTTTCTTCAATTCTTAAACATTGGTACATCATTTTTGAGGGTAATATACGAAGCGGTAATTGAATTAAATGGCTTTTGATTTCAGAATTTATATTTTTCACTTGTACTGCAACTACCACTTTGTATGCAAATTTAAATAACGTTCCACGGACACTAGGTGAGAGATTATGTGGAAGATATGCCCATAGAGTTGCTGTAGATTGAAAGAAAATAAGATTACATTATTAGTAGTATCAGCATGAACAGAATCCGATGAAAAAACTGGGCACTATGGCACAATTATATAATATTTCAATTTATTTGACTAAACGTAGAGTGATACGGTGTCATTATAGAACAAAACCATATGCATCGCAATAGAATAAGTCGAATTTCAAATAAATACAAGAAAAAAAAAACAAGTAAATGGGGAAATATTAGTTGTCGTTGTTGTAACACAAAAGTCTCTTGGAAATTTGTAATAACATATTTTGACAGTCAGCTTATTCATATATCGTTATTTCTAATGGCAGTGTATATAATACAGTTAGATAAACTATGTAAATTATCTAACAAAAACGAATCAGTAGGGATGTGTATCGAACTTCAACAACACAAAGAGTTGAATGTGATAAAGTAATATTGAAAAAACTCAGAATGTCGGTAATTAGTGGACTTATGTAATATTACTTTTTAAGAAATCAGCCTGGAAATCTACTGCAATCAACATGGGGGATTAGATCCGGATCTTTAACGCTAATCCCAAATCAGCGATTTTATGCGGTTCAGAGACTTGGCCCGTGCGTCATGAAAAGTATTTCCCGCAGGCTGCGGACTTTCATCAGCATCTACCTTCATTCCACAGTGAAGATCAAATGGCCAGAATGGATAAGCAACAAAGGACTCTTAGTAACAAACCAAGACACTATCGCTCAACAAACAAGCAGTAGTAAATGGAGATCGATCGAACACAGACTGAGGAGACTACTGATTAACATCATGCACCAGTCAAGACATCCAGTGTAAACCAAGTGGAGGGCGACGAGTTGGGTGTTGGTAACATGAAGATCGTGGCAGGAAGAGATAAAAGCATATGGGCAATCGTGAAACCAGGTAAAAACACTCCAGGAAATAGGATGAAACAGAAGTGTTGCTGAAGCCCTATTTTCCACCCGGAACCCAAGGGAATAGTAATAACTTAGGTCCTATAAATAAATAATTGTTTGTAGAGATATGACTAACTCAAAGGAAAACTTTGTCAAAGGTCCACAAGCTGAAAAGATACCGAAATGTCTAGGACTTTTCATAAGGGAATAAATATGACCTCTCAATACAGTGAGTCCAAAATCACCAGGCTACAAGACAAACCCACTAGTACTTGGTCACTGGGTCAGGATGCACTGATCAGTTACTTCTGTCTTCTGCTAATTTGCAGTGTGAAATAATGTGATTCTCTACAAATGTGAATACATCTCGAAATCAGCTCTTAATCTTTATTAGAGAAAACACCCCCATTTTCGAGGATATTTTGATACAACCATTCCTTTTCAGATACGGTTATAAATGCTTTAGCTTCACTTAACTAGCACGCAGTAGCACAGTGCTGTACGTGGACACAGGAAACACAAGTTAAACGAATAATTATGCATGACGACTATTAAATACAGAAATTAGACTGGAAATAGGTGAACAATGTTTTATAAGTTACCAGGCCCTTTGAAGTGTTCTTCTGGGGTATATTTCACATGCATTGGAATGACACATATCAGTTGACTTTTAGGTTCTAATGAAGAAGTAATTAGTGACTCAGCATCAACTAAAAGAGAAGGAGAACATAAATAGAAAGAATCATATGGGTAAAGATGTGGCAAATTAAACATTATGAAACTAAAGTAAAGAAAATGAATATTTTTCTATGAATTAGTTCTTTATAATTGCAGGTGCCTAGCCATCGACCTCCTCGACGGGCAATGTTAGATAACATACGATTACGTTGGAAAAGAGTTGGGGATGGTCAAACCGAAATCCGGCATCAGTCCATGTAGTCTCTGACAGTTGCTATGAGCCGCAAAGGAAGGTGTAGACTGTCTGGTTGTAGTCCTCGAGATGCTAAAAACCGATGACTGGAGACTATTGGTGATACGTCTTAAAGTTGTTCACTCTTTGTGATCTTACATGCTACTGTTCTTTTTACCACACATTTTTGCCTATTACAGTCATTTGAGTGTCTTTTATTCTCTTTGTGTGATACATGGATTGTGGCAACTTCAACTGCCGCACTTCTGTGCAGCGTCCAGCTATCATCACTGTTCCCAACCAACAGTGGGGTTAGACAGGGTTGTCCAACCTCTCCATTTCTCCTTACCTTGCCATCGATGATATTCTGGAGTCAGCCATGAAAGACGTGCATTCAGTCACACTGTCATCTATTCAAACTACTGGTTAGGTAGAAGTAAAACACTATATAAAAGCTAAACTGACATAGGGGTAATTCAATTTTGTTAAAACAATTAACATTAAATACATGTGAAAATGAACTGCCAAAATAAGTTAACAATTACGCTGCAAGTTTGATCACGGAATGATATCGGCCAGAGAACCATTGGAAAGCCTGCAAATACTGGACAGCTATTCCATCCTAGTTTGGGACTCTTCAGTAGGGCGCACCCACCGAGTTTCGAAACCAGGATCTTCTCAGTTGCAAGGCAAGTCCGTAGACAATTCAACCACTGAGACCCGTGTCAATGACCCATAAATTATAACCTCTACCAATTTGTAATTTTAGTGCAACCACCAGTCTATATCACTGCCCTCACACTTGACTTGATGGACTCCACTGGTCAAGGCTTCTCACTAGAAATCCAGGCTGAGCTTGCCTAGTAACTAGAAGGTCCTGACGTCAATCCCAAGTGGGTGGATGCTGATGAAGAGTCCTAATCTAGAACAAAACAGCTCTCCAGTACTCTCTCGTTTTCAATGTGAGTAGTGAACAGCTGTTTCATACAGTACTCTCTGGTATCCGATGGTTCTGTAACTGATATCGCTCCATGATGAAAACTGAAATAAATTAAGTCCCTACATAGTAAATCTTGAAAACTCCTGATAATTTTATGATGAACTGATGAAAAGAAAATACCAGAATGAAGTTGATAAGCTTTAAAGTCTCAAAAGGCCTCGAAATGTGCAGAAATATAAGCTTAAATGGATAAGATAGACTGTATGTTATGTGAAAATTGATGTTTTAGGCAACTGGTTCACGGTAAGTTGTATGACGTTGACTGAATGTGCAAAACTTAATGCTCCTTGTTGAGGTTTTAGTCCATTCATTTCTTAGTCATATTTGTCACAAGTCAATCAATATTATCCTGTTAATATATACTACAATTATAGGTTTATAATGGTATTAAGAGAGAATGACAACCAGCACCTAAGGGAAAAGGCACCTTAGCTCGTTGTTTTCATAACTGATTAGTGAACATATAGGCCTATATGAACTTCAAACTGAAGTTACATTAGACTATGATATGCTCAAAGATTGATAAAAACAAAAATCTCAACACAGCTTTCATACAGGGGGGAACACACACGACACATCTTGATAAGTTTAGCAAAACTTGGGAGGACAATTTGAAAAATATTCACAACTTTTAGGCTATGAATTACACTCAGATGTTCCAACTAGAAAAGATGCATTATACTTTAACTCATCATCTAGAAGCTGTGGCAGAAACGTGTTCAGATCACATAATTACAAATTTATTATCATACAATTCTGTGAAGTTATAATATAAAAGTGGACTAAAATTTCACAACCACGCTTATCATCAATGGGAGCTAAAGGATGGTTTGATTGACTGGTTTTTTCATTTATGTGGTTTTGAAGTGAACTCGAATAAAATTATATCTAGTCAATAGATTCCCAAAAATTCACTTGAATAGCCTATTATCTGTCAGTACTTATGCACTACAAACTACGGAAATTCATCTATTATACTCCAGCTTCTAAGTTCCTATTTCCATAACTGCTTGAATTAGGGTTATTCTGCACTAGAGTTCAAGAATTTGAATCAAAAAACGTATGAGTATAACACTTTATAGCAATATTAAACAAATGCAGACTGTATTAAAAGCCTTTAGTCGAAAATTAACGGTTTGGTGTTTAGCTATACTATCTCAAGTGAAAAAACCTCTGTGGGTGTAGTTAAAATCGAACTAGTAGCTAACTTACTAGAGAAGTGTTAGTTGCCCAAAGGATTAAAATGTAGTCACACATGCTATATGGCTACGGTTTCCAATGTGTTTACCTAAAATTATAAAACCACACAATATTTGATCGACAATACAAATATAAGTATGTAGCAACACGTGTGCGTCAGCGGCTCAGTGATAGAATCTTCGCCAACAACGCAAGTGGTCCATGGCTCGACCCCTGGCCAACGTACCCTTAAACCCTGCCTAGAAGGCAAGTAAGGCAGCTAAATAGGGAGGGTTACACACGAGGAAAGCAACTTCACCCTGTAAGAAAAACACTACTGCTATTGAAACTTTAAAACTGAAGCTTGAAGCCCCATATTCCATTCAGAAGACAAAGGAATAAAATAATAATACACGTACAGCTTAATGCATCATCGTATTTCCACTGAGAAGTAGTGAGTGACAGTGACGTCGGGGATACTTGATATGGTTTTGTCAGATGTTTATTGTCCAGCTTACATTGCCCAATAATACACCCAACTATACCAGTTATTGACCTTTAGAAAGAAAATATTAAAAAAATTCGATGTTAATAAAGAAACACTTTGAACAATCGCTCTTTTGTGATATTAAGAATGTGGTATCCGTAGCTTGGCATCAAATTATCACATTAAATTTGTATTATTTAAATTAAAAATATAAGTATAAGAAGACGGAATTTTGAGAAGGCGAGATATCAGATTATCTAATAAAAGTAAAAGACTTCCAGAGGCTCTAAGTATTTGACTACTACAGCCGTAAATTTCTGTCCATTATACATTCTTGTTTTTTTCTTTTGTTTTCTCTAAGTTTGTATAATACATGAAGTGTGGCAGCTTGAAATTCTGGGCTTCTTTGTACATTTGCACATTGAAACCCAGTCAGTCAGGCTACCTTCAAAGTACTGCTCGCATTTTGTGTCATCAAAACATGAACAATGGAAAACTTGAGAATGGAGTCTCAAGTAAGGACGTAAGATAGTTGAAAAGTTGTAAGTTTCCAACGTATTTTAGAAACCCAGGAAGACTCATATTCTTGACATTCATTTAGTAACTCTGAAGTTTTGTTTATATATATATATATATATGTATATATATACAGTGGCTTACGTGCATTTGTGAAACAGACTTAGGTTGTTTGAAAAACTGTTATTTCAGCTAATATCATTAATCGTTTGACATGCATTAACTGAGTACTTTATTAAATGATAAAGGTTTGATGTTAGGTAAAGGTAAGCAATAAGGATGAACACAACGAAAATTAGTTATCACGAAAATATCCGGTACGCCTAACAAGATTTAGTTCTGAAAAAGGTAATCACTGTTATATCCTAAAAATTCCTCTGAAAGAAGTACGAAAGAACAGTCTAAATTTCGCTGTAATTTAGTTATCATCAACAAATTTGCATTTTAGGTTGTAAGCCACAACTCATTCGACGGCTAAGCTTTGAATTCAATTACGCGGAACAGATCTTTTGCATACCAGACTGAAGGCCACACTCATTGTGAGGGCTAAAGTAGGTGGATCAGGGCTCAAATCCGAGACTGAGTCATTGAAAGCCTAATGCGCAAGCAAATGAACCACATCTCGACGGATGGTTAGGCTACAAATTAACTACTTGGATCTAGGGAGATGAGACAGCATATAAACTGTATTCTGGTGACTATTAGACAAAATGTGGGACGAATAAATTAATCTGATATTCAGCCAATTGTCACGATAATGGTATAACCGTTTACTGCAAATAAATCTCATAAGATTAATACAAGGTTATGTAAAATGAGGCAAACATGAATGTAATTAATAAACTGATAGAACTCTTGAATGAATTAAAAATAATAAGAATAAGGCAAATCGGTCAAAAGAACCAACTTTGAACCAACCAGTGGTAGTCTTTTTTAACGATATTTTCTGAATCAGAGGATATGGTAACTGCACACTCAACGAGACCACCACCAGAATACAAGCTAGCACCCAGTAATTTAGCCACTATGTCCATATTCTGCTGGTTGGATGTTGGTGACATTTATTGATGGATTATTATACACAAAAAAGACCTAAAATACAAAATTGTAAAGTAAAGAACTGTAAATGAAACTTTCTCATTAGCAAAAGTGGTGAATGTTTACCTGTGTGTAATTCAAATCCTGAGTCAAAATCTTTGAAAGTTCAAATCTAACCCTCTAGATCCACTCTGCATACCGTCGGTGGCACAGCGGTTAGGACTCTCGCTGACCATGCACATGGTCAGAGGTTCGATCCCCTGCCAACGAACACCTGATATCAATCGTTGGTCTGCGAAATTCGGGTGCACGCTCCTTGAATAAAACGTGCTTTTTCCTCTCTAACCGGAAAATACCTATTTTGTGAATTATCCGCCTGGGAAACCTGATCTTCCTAGCCGGTGAATTAAATTCAACCATTACTTACATATTGAATCTCTGTGTGGTAAGTCCAGCTGTCTCGAACTACTGCCAAAGCTTCAGGTGCTATTTTTGTAGCAGCATCTTCCTCACTCGTTCAGATAAACAAGACTTGTTGGTCTACCACGTGATTGCTGTGAAGCCGATCATCCAGAAAGTACTAGGTAAAGTCGAAAACCTTTTCTTTTCCTTGTCTTGTACTTTTTCAGTCTTATTTTTGTTCTTGTGGGTAGATACTGTTGCTCTCTTATTCGTATATAGCATAAGTCACAGTGATTGTTAATATGGCTGTTGAAAGTAGCCTTAGAAAAAGCAATAAAACACCTTACTCTGTAGTCACAAGGGCTTCAGCCAGAGAAGGCAAAAACCCAGGGACATCAACCCCATGTCGCATACCCATCCTAAAGACTCGTGTAGGTCTCGTCTGTCCTGATACTACGCCTGCATTGCCACAGTCTAGTACTGAAACGGCACAGGCAATACTAGGGGGACAGGATACTACACCTGCATCAACTGAAAGCCAGTGTGTGAAACACAGCAAACCTAAAAGGAAACGCTCAAGACGTCATAAGACCTCGAAGGCGTCATCATCAAGTAAGGTAGACGAATGCCAGGCGTGCAGTATCATAGTTTCTAAAGCTGGCTCGGCGTTTGAATGCAATTTTTGCAAACGGTGGGTGCACTGCCGTTGTGACAAAGAGGTGCCGAAAGCATACTACGAGTTTATGAGAAATAACCCATGCCCGTGGTTTCGGTACATCTGTCGACTTTGTCGCTCTTGTGTCCCGACAAAGTCTTATGCAGCTCCCCACCAGCTAACATCACACTGCCAAAACTTGACACAGACAGTAAGAAGGACACTCCAGTCCTACTGACTGAAAATGCCAATTTTCATAAGGTGAAGATTCAAAAGGTTGGACCCACAAAATCAAGCGAAGAGAGAATTAGAAAAGTACCACTTGTATCCACAAGCAAGCTCAGCAACACAACAAAGGCTGGCCAGAACCTGATGAAGCCTAAAGTTGCTGATGCAGCAAAGGAATACAAGAAGCTAAAGGCCAAACCTTAGTCTGAGGTTAATCGGTCTAATTCTCTTATCCTCTTTAACGTACCTGTGAGCAAGGACAGCTTGCTTGAACAGCGGGCCCTGTTTGATCAGGAACAGTGGTCCAACCTGTGCAATAAATTAGGTCTGAACATTAGTCCAGTGAAATTGTGCAGGCTTTACAGGGGTGTCCACACGCCTCAGGGTAAGCCATCCACATTAAGGGTTACACTGGACTCTGCCGAAGAGGCCGAAAAGGTACTGATGGCTCAGGTACTAGTCACCGACAGAAGTTCGAACCACACAGAGATTCAATATGTAAGTAATGGTTGAATTTAATTCACCGGCTAGGAAGATCAGGTTTCCCAAGCGGATAATTCACAAAATAGGTATTTTCCGGTTAGAGAGGAAAAAGCACGTCGTACCGAGGGACCAACTGGTGAAAGGATCAACTCCATTCACAGTAGTAACAGTATCAACACACCGCATACTGCAAACCACAAACAATTAATCCCTGCACTACTCCTTTTGGAGTCAACCGAAGCTACAACAGTCGAGTGGCAGACGTTTACCGAAGATCAGGAACCTCTACCTCACAATCAAGAGGCGATCACAAAGAAATTAAATTGGTTTATACTAGCTCGTAAAAGCGATATTGGAAAAAATATGGAAATATTGGGCTACCGATTTCACATACTGAAAATTCCATACTTGTACCAAAAGTACGGTGTGGAATATAGGTTGATATCAAGCTATAAAAAAAAACCTTTCCACCTAAAACAATAAATCGTATCGGGACTAGTGAATCTTGTAGGGTTTCTCGAGATATTTTCTATACAGCAATCAGCACACTGACTTTCATGTATTTAACTAGTATTTAACGTCCGTAACTGAAGCGATGCTCAACTGACAGCCCAAAACAACGTTGAACAAGAACTGATCCATGCATCATCAAGCCTACAGTAATTCTTTACTTAGTATAAACTATACGTCGAGAATGTCATTTTACGGTAAATGAGTATTTCATCTACCTAAAAATGAACTAGTAAGCTTGAGCACAGAGAGGTATTCAGGCTTCTTCTAGGTTAATTCCGCAGGTGGATAGGTTAAATATCTAACCACAACATGTGTTAGACCATAAATTTTATTTAATAGGTCATTATTTACGGATATTTTGAAAAATACAACATTCGTTTATCCCTTACAAAACAACGAGGTAGCGCAGAGTTATAAGGAAACCGCTTATAATATCCAATTACGTTTTTACGAGCTAGTGCAAACTAAATTGATTTCTTGGTACTTGCTTCTTAGTTGTGAGTCAGAAGTTCTTTGTTTTCAGTAAACTTCTCCGTAGTTCGTCCTGCCACTCGACTCTCGTAGCTGTGGGTTGACTCCATAAGAGGTGACGCTGGGATTCATTATATGTGGTTTGTAGTTTGCGGTGTGCTATGACCGTATCGTTGATGTGAATGCAGTTGACCTTTTCACATGTTGGTCTCCCACTGTGGTCGAAAACAGAAAGAACTAATAATAATAGATATCATTAGTGTAGACTACGGAAACATATAAAAGAGGAAAAGAAAAAAAACGTAAAACCAGACAGTTAATAAAATTTGAAACTGATATACATATATATGTATATTAATAATAACGAGGGCAATTAGTAACTGGGGTGGTCAGAAGAGTATGACAAGAGAGAATGTGAGGAAGCAAAATGATGATTTTAGGTGCCGACCCAATAGTAGTGTGTGAGATTTTGAGGGGATAGACGTAGTCCTTGTGTCTGCATGATTGTTCAGCCTTCGCTTAAAGCTTTCCACGGACAGAGCCGTAGCTGCATCTGCCAGCAGAGGACATCACGGGAGGCAAACTCAAAGGGAAAAGAAATTGTAGTGCACTTTAGTGAGATCTTCAAGGATTGCTACGTGGAAGCTCGAACGTTTGCAGACTCCTAAAGAATTAATCTGGACAGTTTTCGTTCACTGTTGAAAATGGACATATAGAACATAATTTTTTGTTTGATAGACTTCTCTTACGATCATATATGACTTTGGAGTTCAACTGGAAATATAGCTGTGCTGTCCCTTACTTTGCCTTCTTACTGGCTCCTACTTCTCACTTGGCCTATCATAACCTGCATTGTATTTTTGGAATCTGAAGGAACATCTTCTTAGGTTCCAAGAGGAATTTAGGGCTTCAACAACACATCTCCACCTCCTTCTATTGTCCGCCATCCTCTTCAGCTGGGTCCAAGATTGCCCATAATCTCTCTTCTCCTGCTCACATGATCTCCTCCATGTCACCCTCACGCTGACAACCCACCCGTCGCTTTCCATTGTCATTCCACTCGAGGACCTGTCACGCGATGACTTTCGACAGCTTCCTCAATGTATGCCTGATCCAACTCCATTTTCTCCTTCATATTTATTGAGCTATCGGCTCTCGCCTGTTGGTTTCTTGCCAGCCAGAAATTCTTGTTACTAGTTCTTTCTGGCCTGCCAGCTAGCCATTTGATCTTCAATATGAAGCCAGCGAAGCGAGCAGCTGTTGATGAAAGTCTGAAACAAGCTGTCGGAAATTGATTTTCGTGACACGCCAAGTTTCTGACCCATATATAAGGACTGACTTCACATTAGTGTTGAAAATGCGTGTCTTGCTCCTAATGCTGAGTGTGGAAGATTTCCAAGTTGGTGGAAGCGTATCCTGCCTTTCCTAGTCAGACTGGCTTTGACATTTTCATCCGTTCCCCTGTAGTTGAAACGATGCTTCCCAGATAAGTGAAGGAGGTAGCCTCCGATTAACATCACTCGTTGATGCTAATTGATACTGTTTGCTGTTGTTGCAGTTGGTTAGTTATCCTCATCAGATCCGTCTTCTTTATGTTCACTTGGAGTCCAGTCTTCGCTGCCAGCCTCTTCAGCCAGTTTGTTGGTTTTCGCTTGCAAGTCTTCAAGTTTGTGTGGCATTAGATATATATCATCTGCGAAATCCGGTCCTTCCAGAGCCTTCTTATCGGTCGTCCAGTGTATTCCTAACTCCTCGTCACCAACAGTCTGACGCATAATCCAGTTCACCAAAATTAAGAATAACATCGGTGACAAATAGGCAAACAAGCTTGTCTCCGTCTGGTCCTGCTGCCCCCTGACTGGCCTTCAGTGGCTTTATCGTATTCAGGACTTCTGCTTTCGCTGGAGGATTGGTGTCCACTAGCAGTTTTGTGTCTGTGTTGATGGTCATATTTCTGAGCGGGTTGCAGGTGATGGTCGATTCAAGAGACCTTTGAAGTAACCAGCCCATTGATTTATTTGTTCCTTCGACACTTGATATTGGTTTCATCATCTGGATTTATATCTTCCAGGAGAGAGACTTGGTTGTCTGATATGATGTCCTGAGGTCTCTTTTGCCTGCGGCCAGCCTGTTCTCCTTCAGTTGCTATCCAGTGTGTCGTAGAATTGTCATTTGTCTCTTCTAGCAGTATTTTTCACTTATTTATCCAATGCAGTGTACAATGAACTCAGCTTCTCCTTCTGTTGTCCATCTTTGCATTGAGTCATCTTCTCTTTCACGATCTTCGTCTCTTCCCTTCTCTTAGCTTCCGGGCAGGTGTCCGTTGAGAGCCATTCCATGAGTTGCCTCTCCACTCTTCCTAGAACAGTTGTACACGTTTCCTTGAGCATCACCTCCAGAGAGTCAGTTCCAATGTTCCCCCATGCATTTTTCCTCAATGATGCCACGTATTGTTTCCGACTCTGCTCTTATCTGATCTGTAGTGAAGGCATGCCTTGTGGTTTTGTCCCTCAGTTTCTGATTGTTGGACTTGAATCATGGCCTGCCTCAAGTTGTTCTGAATGATTTCAGCTTCACGTTGGAGGTTCTTTTGACTAGATAATGGTCTGAGCCCGCATCTACTCCTCTTCTCAACTCTATGTCCAGCAGGCTGCGTCTCCCCTTCCCTGATGAGCATTGAGATTTAGTCTATCTGGTTCGTAGTGTGTCCGTCAGGCAAAACCCATGTTGCTTTGTGTAAATACTTGTGCTTGTACACGCTGCCTCCAATCACCAAATCACTGAAAGTGCAGAAGTATGAGAATAGTTCTTTGTTCTCATTCATTTCTTCGAAGCAGAGCCTCTCGACCCATGATGAGTTTTCTTTCTGTATTATCAGGTCACAGTTTGGCGTTCATATCACTGATGAGGAATTTGATGTCACCATTTGCGGTGTTGTCCATTACTGTTTGTAGTTGTCTGTAAGAGTCCTCCTTCTTTCCTTGTTCCGCGTTGTTTGTAGCACTCTGCGGGGTTGATTCATGGTGTCATTATCCTGGATAATATTGGTTCCCACTGCATTAGGGCTTTAGCTGCCACTGGTCACATCATGATAGCCACTTACTTCCTCAGTGTGCTCGTGGTTGTCGTCTGGGTTACCAGACCAGAGTAGATTACTCCCCCTCCGCGTGACAATTTGGATAATCCATTCCATCTGCTCTCAAAGATACCCAGCACTTGTTTGCCATATCTTTGCATTTCCTTGGCTACCTGGGCAGCTTTCCTAGCCAGCCTCGTACATGCACGGACATTCCAAGTTTCCATTCTTAGTCTTGCTTTCATCGAAAGAAGACACATTGGCTGAGTGACTGGCTTCCGAAAGGTTTTCACTAGCCAAAGTCATGCCCCGTGGTGAAATCCTCCTTCGAAAACCATTACTTGAAAATTAATCTGATGCTCACTATCGCCTGGCGCTATTCACCTGGGGTTATAATGGGAAGCCGTGACCAGTGGAGTGCAGCAGGTTGAAGGTGAGACAGTAACTAATCGAGGAAGACATTACGAAGTGATCGCGCTATATCATGAATTAGCAGAAGTTAGAATTCATATGCTGGCCACTGTGTCGGGTCCCAATGGTTTAATGGTCTACGAGCGAGCTCATCTTGTAATTATTAGGTCCTGGGTTCGAACCACGGTGTGTGCATACTGATGAAAAGTCCCTAACTAGGACTAAAAACCTGTTCAGTACTCCCAGCTTTTCAATGGTTCTCTAAGTGAAAAAACCCTCCAACCAAATATATAAGTATTGCCTTCCGATTAACAAAAAGTCATGTCTACAGTAGATAGATTGCCAATAGCAAGGGAAAAACTAAAACCTGAAGCCAATTATTCTACATAATAAAGCGCTGCATCTTATTCTTGAATCACTACCAAATTATACGTTAATTCAAACACAGTTTCATATTTGTTTTATTTTTGATCGTAGGTTTTCTCTAGTATTGAGTTATCTTCTGTTTAGACGGCTATCTTGCTGAACCGAAAAGGGGCCACATATAATCCCCTTTGCCTCGTGAAACTATCAAAGAAGGGCGACTTAGGACTCTGCAAGAACTGGCGAGGAATCATGCTCCTGTCGACGCCAAGCAAAATCCTGAGTCGCATCATCCTGGAGAGAATAAAGGACACACTGGATACAGAACTCCGACCAGAACAAGCTGGATTCAGGAAAGGCAAATCATGTTCTGACCAAATTGCAACTCTACGCATCATCATCACAGAACAAAGCATGGAATGGCAATCAAATCTCTACCTAAACTTTATAGACTCTGAGAAGACCTTCGACAGCGTTGACCGCGAAGTAATTTGGAAACTACTCGAGTACTACGGCGTACCCCAAATATTCATCAACCTTATTCAACAGCTGTACGACAACGGCACATGTCAAGTGATCCATAACGGAAAACTCAGCGAGGCGTTTGGAGTAAACACAGGAGTCAGACAAGGGTGCTTATTATCACCAATGATATTCCTAATTGTGTTGGACTGGATTATGCGTCAGACAGTGGGAAACGAGAAGACAAGGATATCTTGGACCGACGTGAAGAACCTAGAAGACCTGGATTTCGCGCGTGGATGATTTATGTTTGATGTCACACTAAATCGAAGACTTACAAGCGAAAACCGACAAACTGGTCGAAAAAGCAGCCAGAGAAGACAGGACTCCAGGTGAACATAGACAAGACGGAGGTTATGAAAATAACCGAGAAACAACAACAGCAGCAGCAACATCCAGCGCCAATCACCATCAACGGGAGGGATTTGAAAGATGTTACTTCATTCACTTATCTAGGGAGCATTGTCTCAACTACAGGAGGAACGGACGAGGATGTCAAATCGAGGATCGGGAAGGCAAGAATTACATTCATCAACCTGAAACCAATCTGGAAAATTTCGTCACTCAGCATCAACAACAAAATTCGGATTTTCAATACAAACGTCAAGTCAGTTCTCCTATACGGATCAGAAACTTGGTGGGTCACCAAGAATATTTCCAACAGGTTGCAAACCTTTATCAACAGCTGTCTTCGTTCTATACTCAAGATCAGATGGCCAGAAAGAATCACCAACAAGAAACTATGGGAACAAACAAAACAAGAACCAATCGCTCAACAAATATGCAGGAGAAAGTGGAGATGGATTGGACACTCGCTGAGGAGGCCGTTGGGTGACATCGCGCGTCAGGCCCTCGAGTGGAACCCGAAAGGGAAGCGGCGAGTGGGACTTCCAAGGGTGACATGGAGGAGATCGTGTGAAGAAGAGTCGAAACAGTGTGGACTAACATGGATGCAAGTGAAAAGTACAGCAGAAGACAGAAGCAAGTGGAGACGTGCAGTTGAAGCCCTATGTTTCACTAGGAACCCAAGGGAACAGTAATATAATCCCCTTGAGTTGTGATACCAAAGTGATCTGTAATTGACTTGCCTCCCTAAAATGGTGATAGTACCACAGAGTATGTCTTTGCCTCCATTTGTAGTTGCATTGCAATTTGAGCAATGGATGGCCTCACACATATGAAAAGATGGTTTAGCGAAATCCAACGTCATGATGCATTCTCACACCTACTGGTTATACTCATTCCTTCATCACTTTTCCTTTGAACTCAACAGCTTTCTGGTGTTTTAGTCAGCTGAGGTCAATTTACGTCACTGGTGTATTGTTTCGTGTACATGATAGCTGTTCTAACACCTATATCAGGCTTGTAAGAATTACGATGTAACTTGCTCGGTTAAAAGCAAGAGATATTATATTCGTTTAGCACTAAATTACAAACACTGTTTTTCTTCCTTATTTTACAGGTTCACTCTGGAGACGCATCAGTAAAATAATCTCGAAATAGTCCTATTTTTAAAAATTAACTTTTGGAAATTTTTTTGATTACTGCTTGATTGCACACCGTATTTTTGGTACAAGTATGGAATTTTCAGCATGTGATATCGGTAGCTCAAATTTTGCAGGCCAAGGATTGATATCAGGTGTTCGTCCGCCGGGGGTCGAACCTCGGACCATGTGCATGGTCAGCAAGAGTCCTAACCGCTGTGTCACCGACGCACAATATAAACGAATATCCAAAATTCTCATGATTACTGGCGAAACGTAACTGGTAGGGTCTAGTCGTTGGTATAAGTTTGTTTAACTGGAAGTTAAAAGTCATTAATTCGTACAGTTAACGTGAAACTCACAATCACCTGGTAACTTTGCGTGTAGTAGCCTGAGATAATAAGGTTTCTATTACATGTAGTCAAATATAATTGCAGTCTATTTGATGATTTAAGCGTTGGTGGAGAATCAGTAATAGATCCTAATAACCACGTTAATTTAGAAAAAGCTAAGGACCAGTAACCGACTGATAATCAGCAGTAAATGAGACGCATATCGCTTTATTCCTAATTTACCTCCAAGCAACCTTCCTCTTTAGACAATTAGAAAAATTCTGCTTTAATCTCTCATTCCTAGGAATGAGAGTGGAAACGAAGTATTACAGCAGTTGAAGCACATGTTTCTTTTATTATGGATGCACAAAGAATTGAGATAAGAACACGAAAAGATCCGAAATAAGGAACTATTAGCAAGCCCGCGTCGGACTTGTAATGCATTTTGCAAGACACTAACTTCCTGAAAATGCCATGCCTCCTAAACTAATCGGTTGCTACGTCTAAGTGCTGCTGGTCTTTGGAAGTGAACGTTGTTTGATAACCAGATCTAATCAACAGGTATCAGAGTAAAACAAAATCGCATCTTCATTGTTTCTTGCTAGCATGTGGTCAGTTATGCATTGGAAATGCTTCCTTTTTAACTTGTATTCTAGTGGCGGTCATTCAAAATGAGATAATTTTTGGAGAGGGGGTACGTACGCTTTAATATCACTCGATTTTTTGAAGGAAATGGAGAAAAAGCAAAGCATTTTATTGGGTTGTGTTTTGGTTAAAAATACTTCAAATAATATTTTACTGTCGATTATTTATTCACCTGACGATTCTACACACGGAGTAAATAAATACTTTGCAATTGGACGTGTTGAGTATTCTGTAATGTTTGTATTAACGCATTTTTCAGAATAAAGTTATTATAACTGCTTATTTATTTGGTTATAATTAATAACAACCATAACAGTAATAATAGGATCTTTATTTTTATCACATCAGTAACCAAAGAAGGATTTATTGAATTTCTCATATCTCTAGAAAGTTCTGTTACTTTTATCATCAGGTAGTCCATGTCGCTTCAATGTTATTGACCCGTTTAATTACTGAATACATCTTTAACATGACTTTTATTAACAAAGTTTGAGAAATATATGTATATATATAACAACACCGAATAAATTTTATAAATAAATAATTAAATTATTTATCATAATTTAAAGCAATACTAGTGTATTGTATTTCTGTGAAAGCCTAAAACGGTAGACAAGAGGAAGACAGAGATTATCTTCAAATCAAATTGAAAAAAAGATCCTACAAAATCCATAAAATTTAAACAAAAGGTTCTGTCTGATTAAGTATCCATTGTAGACAACGTTTTCGACTAGATGATAAGGCTGATATCTCCTTCAATGATAATACGGATGTATCTTTCTCCTTGACAATATCATTTAATGTCGATGTAGAATTGACTTCTTGTAAAATACGATTACATAAAACACGACGAATTGTTTTATGATAATTATTTAACCAATTCAATTCATCCTGATTCAATAGATTCTTATTAATGAATTTATGCTGAAATGGTACCAGAGTGACTGGTTCAAATGTAAGCCATTTAACAGTATCATCCAATGATGGTAAACGAAAAGATTGATCATTTACAGGGAGATGATTGTTGCTGTTGCCGATGTTAGTAGGAGAGGTAGTGGTGGTGGCATCTAGCATACCACCAACGGGAACAGGGACAACAAATACAACATTTTCTAGACGTATACCAAAGTGATCAGTCCAGTAGAAACCTGGTTCAATGGTAACTACCTATTATATTGAAAAAAAAGCATTTAAAAAAAAAGATTTGAGAGATACAAGCAATAATTTAAACTGTTAGTACTTTGCAGAGATTTAATTGATTTTAAGATTGATTATGAATTAGTCAACTGCTCAGTAGTGACTGACTACAGCAAAAAAGTTATCTGAAACTGTAGTGAGAAGTCGTGACCACCTGGGTTCACCAAGTTGAGTGTGAGGAGGAATACTCACCGATGTTATTGGTTGGCAATTGTACTATTACATTGTGAAGTGGCAGAAGCTGGAATTGACGGACTACTGGATGTAGTCTCAGCGACTCAATAGTCAACGACCTCGCCTTGTAACCTGAAGGTTTTTGGTCCAATCTTTGATGCGTACTACCAAAGAGTCTCAAACAAGAATGGAGCAGTCATCCAGTACTCCCTGCTTTTCAATGGTTCTTTAACTGAAGTCAATCCGTGATCATTCTTGAAATAATTTAAATATTCCTATTATAACATTTAGAGAATACAACTTAAGCAAATACGTACTTCCAGTAATTCCCCATAAGGATTTACAATTACACAATTAAATATTAACTATAGACATTTGAAACCAATGCAGTTAACAGAGTTAAAGTTCGGGCATATGAATTAGTGAATAGTAATCAACGTGATGACAATAATAACGAAAATAAGTTCATGTAAGTGTTAATATAATAGTAATCTAGGCAGTCAGTTATTGTGGAAGTTTAAGTAGAGTGAGTACGTTTGAAAGCGCGGACAGGAGAAATACCTACTGTCTCATAGCGATTAGATAACAGAACGTTTCGTTTTGTAATAAATTATGGAACTAAAATTAGCATGTGCATTTATGACACAGTATGATGCTGATGATGATGGTGTTTTGATTACCACACTGATTCAGAAAATGCAATCAGCCCTGAACGAATGATTACTTACATAAAGTCACCATGAATACATAATGATAATAATTATTATTATTTCCTTTAATTCCTAGAGGAACATAGGGCTTCAGCAGCGCGTCTCCATTGCTTTCCGTTCTCCGCCAACGTTTTCACCTGGCTCCAAGTCTGCCCACATGCTTTCATCTCCTCTTCACATGACCTCCTCCAAGTCACCCTTGCACTGACGACCAACTCTCCGCTTCCCTTTCGGTTTCCACTCGAGCAATGGCTTGTCTAGTGATGTCACTTGATGCATTGTTTCCTCAGAGTATGGCCAATCCATCTCCATTTCTTCCTGCCTATTTGTTTCACAATCGGTTCCTGCTGTGTTGGTTCGCTCATTGCCAGAGATCTATGTTGCTGATCTTTTCTGGCCGGCCATCTGATCTTGAGTAGTATTGAGCGAAGACAACTGTTAATGAAGGTTTGTAGTTTGTTTGAGATGCTCTTTATGACGCGCAGTGCAAGTCTCTGATCCGTATGGTAGCACTGACTTCACATTGGAGTTGAAAATCCGGATCTTATTTTTGATGCTGAGTGTTGTTGACCTCCACAGGCTTGAGAGTATTGAAAGCTTGCCTTGCTTTCCTGATCGTCGCTTTGATATCCTCATCAGTTCCGTCGGCCTGTAGTTGAAGCAATGCTTCCCAGGTAGGGAGTAAATGAGGTTACTTCTTTCAGATTTCTCTCATTTATGCCGATTGTTATCTGTTGTTTTTGCTGGTGGTGGTGTTGGCCAGGAATCTTCATCACCTCTGTTTTCTGTATGTTCAGCCAAATATCATCGGTGAAGTCCAGATCCTCCAAGTTTTTTGTGTGAGTCCATTTTATGCGTGTTTCCTCGCTGACCGCTCTCTGTCGCATTACTCAGTCTACTGCAATCAGGAAAATCATTGGCGATAGTAGGCAGCCAGCTTGTCTTACTCCCGTCTTCACTTCGAAGGATTCCGTAAGTTTCCCGTTGTAGATTACTTGGCATGCAGCATTGTCGTACAACTGTTGGATGAGATGTATAATTGTCGATGGCACCCCACAGTAGCGAAGTAGTTGCCAAAGGACCTCTCGATCGACGCTGTCTAAGGCCTTTTCAAAGTCGATGAAGCTGAGATAAAGAGGTGACTGCCATTCCAGGCTCTGTTCAATGATGATCCGTAGTGTGGCGATTTGATCAATACATGACTTATTTCTTCTGAATCCAACTGAATACATAAAGTTGATATGATATTAGCCAAAAAACATATCTAGCACAGACGTGATATCACCTAAAGGACAGGTGTATTGAGCAACATTTTGTTCTGTCCTTCTTTACAGGTATCGGACATGGCTATTGAAAGTAGAGGAAATGAAGAGGTTGACTGTCTTTGACTATAGGTGTTTGCACGCGAAGCCATGGTCTTCCTTGACGAGCATTGTTAGGTGACATAGGATTAGAAAAGAAAAGGGTTAGGGGTGGTCAAATCAAAAACACAACATCAATCTGTGAAGTCTTTGACACGTAGAAAAGTGTAGACCGTCTGGCTGGGGTCTTTGAAATGAGCCGATGAGAACAACCATCTTACTAGACAAAAACAGACCGTACGTATATATTACAATTCTATTGTAAGTTGACTAATTTAATCGGTTGCATAAGGTAGAGCTTTGTGGTCGTTCGGTCACATTATAATAAATTTTCTGCCTCACACACCAATGGCTTAAATCATGCCGTACTGATTAAAGCCAGTCTAATCCTCTTTTAAGCTGATTTTAGTAGCTTCTTACCGGACATTATTTACTCATCATCATATAATATATCAGTAAACTAAGCGATTACTGATAAGGTTATGTAATTTCCCTTGCCAAAGAGAATAAATAAGTAATTTAAATAACATTTCGAAAAAAGTATTTTGTCTAATTACCATATTTTCATTTATGCCTGGTTCTACTATACCCATCCGTGAATACATATTCAATCGACTTCCAGATAATCCGATAGGACCTTCATGTACATTCAAAAAGGCACCAACACCATGTCCTGTACCATGAGCATAATTACCGCAGAATTGCCACATTACACCACGTGCTATAACATCAAGCCGTGAACCTGGTGTATTTGATGGAAAAATCTATTGGAAAGGAAAAATTTTTAGAATGAAAGTATTAAATATTATCTGTTCATTTTGTATGGATATTTATGAATGAAATATATCATTCAGTATTTACGACATTCAGAGTTATATCACTCACTGAGATGAAGTCATTGTTAGAATGTGTATTCACCTTGTAAATATCTTTTGCTGAGATACTTGGGACGTTCCCAAATATAGTGAATCATCGAAGTTCTTGGTGGATCTATGACTCATTATACTCCAGGTACCCGATTTCCAATCATTAGAACAAGATTCAGCTTTTCAACACTAATGTAAAGTCAATTCTACGCTATATGGTTCAGACACTTAGCGAGTCATCAAGAAAATCTCCAACAGCCTGCTGAAGACTTTCATCAACAGCTACCCTAGCTCTATACTGAAAACTAGATGACCAGGAAGGATTAGTAACAATAAACTCTGGCAATGAATCAAACAAGGAATTATCACCCAACAAATATGCCGAAGATATTGGAAATGGATCGGACAGATGCAAAAGAGACCTTCGAGTGACATCGCACCCACGCAATCCATAACGGAAAGCTCAGTGAAGCCTTTGAAGTGAAGACAGGAGTAAGACAAAACTGTTCTAACTATTAATGATGGTCTTACTAAATGCAGTGGACTCGATAATGCAGCAGACTGTGGGGAAGTGAGAAGACGGGCATATGCCGGAATGACAAGAAGACTGTAAAAGATCTGTAACAGTAGAGACTGGACTCTGTGGTAGTTTACTATACTACATAAGTTTATTTGATATAACATAAACTGATACGATATTATTGACTGAATGAGGTTCCTAGCAAAACTTATTGTTCATAATCACAACAATGCGAAGAAGATATGAGTATGATGTCATATACTTTATAAAATCAAAGATATTTGGGCACAGACAGAACTACAGGTGAGTGTGGAGAAGACAGAGGTGATGAAGATACCCAACCATAAACAACAAGCACCAGTCACAATCGGTGGAGAAATCTGAAGGAAGTAGTCTTTTTCCACTTGCATAAGGCATAAGGCATAAAGTCAGCCAGGATCGGGAGAGTAGAACAGTCCTTCATTACTTTAAAATTGGTGTGAAGATCCGCACCACTGAACACAAGACACGAGATACTTGTCTCAGTGTGTGTTCTCCATTAGTTAGCTTGCTAGGGGACGGGAAAAAACTATGAAGTGTAGAAGTTTTGGTAGTCAAAAGTTGATATTTATGCATAAACGTGGCTATAAAAGTTGGTGCATTTTCCCAACAAGCTATCAAAGCAGTAACTGATGAACCATAAAAATATACTTTAATGTTAGAATGATATTCAACCAAAGGAACTTGGAAGTTACGTGATTCAGCAGAATTCTAAATTATGCACCTTTAAACACTATTTACAAGTTTTTGCATTAGATAATGAGTCACACTTATTTGTATGCGGTTAATTGATACTATCCACCCTGGGGAGGCAGTTCCTAAACATTAATTCAACGGTTGAAACTCGACTGCCTAGACTAGTGAGTAGCAGTCACCACATCATGAGTCAAGTATCACACTAAGCTCAACAACACTTTTAGCTTTCAATACCGACATTACTAACACTCACTAATCAGTCACTGAGAGATAAGCAATATCATAACGCAGTCAATTGGTGTGAGGACGTAGCAGTGTAAATTGCAAGCTGCTGACTCAAAAGTTCGATACGCAAAGTGAAGAAATATAGTTGTTTGATATTTTATTTCGATTAATACTGTGGGACTCAAATTAGAAGGTACAGGCTATCAGTTTTGAATTAAAGTTTTTAATGCTTTTAAAGCCAGAATATAGTTTCCCTTCTACATTTACGGGAAAAATCTACAAGCAAATAGAAATACTGGTGAATGTATATCCTTATCACAGAAGTCTCATGGTAAAAGATAAAGTATTCATCATTTTTTAAACCAAACCAATACGGCAGCGAATCAGTGATTGAATGCTCACCAACTACGCACGTGGCTCGGGTTCGATTCCCGACCGATACAATCCTAAACCTCGCTTACACAGTAGAAAGCTAGGAAAAGATGGAAGGTTGGTAATGGGATTATCAAACATGCCCCGCAAAAACACCACTACTACTGTTGAAACTCCAAAGCCTAAGACTGAAGCCCTATGTTCCACGCCAAGGACAGAAACCAAACTACCAAGTCAGGATCGTCTTACAATTTAAATTTCATTCTTTTATAAAAGAAAAAGAGAATCTTAAGCATAACTTACTTGCATAGAAAGTGAAATATGAGCTTTCAGTACAGTTGTATAACAATTTTTCTCTTCTGTAGTAGGTTCATTTAAATGAATTGTTCTCGTGACATCTGTTGTACCAGTTAGATACTGACCACCAGAATCAACAAGGTATACACTTGAACTGGTAATAGGAGCATCTTGACCTTCAACAGGATGATAATGTACAATAGCACCATTTGAATCTAATAATTCGAAAAAAAGAAAAAAAATGTCATAAGAAGAATAATTAGTATGAATACAAATGAAGAATAATTTGATATATATATATATATATATATATATATATATAACATTTAACGGTTATATGATGGTACCACCGATCAAGTGATTCCCAACGGGAAACTCAGCGATGCCTTTGAAATGAAGGGAAGAGTAAGACAAGACTGCCTATTATCACCAATGGTATTCCTGATTTTGGTGGACTAGATCATACGGCAGGCCATGGGGAGTGAGAAGAAATAAATACACTGGTCCGGAAGGAAAACTCCAGAAGAAGATTCGGACTTCGTGGGTGACTTGTCTAGTGTCCCACAAACTCGAACATCTACAGGGAAAAACCAACAAGCTAGCAGAAGATGCAGAAAAGATACGATCATACGAAAGACAGAAGCAATGAAGATGCCTAACCAAAAATAAAAACCAGCACCAGTCACCGTCAATGGAAAAATTGGGACTACTCCACTGTTTTACTTATCTAAGCAGCATCATTTCAGAAACAGGTGGCACGGATGAAGATGTCAAATTCAGGATCGGAAAGACAGGAAAGCCCCTCATTTTTCTCGATTTTCGATTACAGCTTGATTCCACACCGTATTTTTTGGCACAAGTATGGAATTTTCAGCATGTGATATCGGTAGCCCAAATTTTGCAGGCCGGCAGGGGATCGAACCCCGAACCATGTGCATGGTCGGCAAGAGTCCTGGAATCAATCTGGAAATCTACTGCACTAAGTATAAAAGCAAGATTCGGATCTTCAACATTAATATTAAGTCAACCCTTCTATATGGTTCAAAGACTTGGTTGGTCACCAAAAGCAGTTAAAACAGGCTTTAGAATTTATCAACAGCTACCTTCGCTCCATACTGAAGATCAGGTGGCCGGTCAAAAAGAATCAGCAACAAGGAACCCTGGCAACAAGCGAACCAACCAGGAACCGATTGCTCAACAAACATGTCGTAGGAAATGCAGATGGGTCAAACACGTTGAGTAATATCGCGCGCCAGGCAAACCTTCAATTGGAGCTCGAATGGGAAACAACGAATTGCGCCTCCGACGGTGACATGGAGGAGATCGTGTGAGGAGATGAGTGCTTACGGACGATGTTGAAGCCAGGTAAAGAGGACTACAGGAAACAGGATGAAATGCAGACGTGCTGTTGAAGCCCTATGTTCCACTCAGGAACTAAGGCAATTATATATATATATATATATATATATATATATATATGCAAACACCTTGGAAACGAAACTCAAAGCATAGAAATATCCATGCTATACTATCTAATCGATAGACTTTGGATCAGAGATCAACATCAGTGTATGAAAATAATAGTTATTCACTCATCGAACTCTTCCATATTTATTTTTTTTAAATATCATAACACTTACCTGCACCAGATATTGTACTAAAGCTCAGACTGGTAAAATCTTTAGCTTGTGCTCTCAATGCATCTAAATATTGCGCAGCTGATGATTCAGTTAAAACACTCGGTGGCTTTATAACCGGTAGACCTGCACCATTCTCTGGATTTGGTTTAATTGGTTCACTATCACCTGAGTGATTTTGACTACTATTTCTCCAGACGTTAGCCTCTTCTTCTAACCAGGCTAAATAGTCGCATAGAACTAGTGAATCAGTGATATGTATCTGCCGAATACCATCCAATTCTGATAATGCTTTAACTGCTTTCATTTCAGCTACAGGTGATAGATAAATAAAACGATGATTTTCTGGTACTCTAGACACAATTGCCTGACTAGCGACAAAATCAAGCCATACTCGAAAATATGGTTGATTGTCTATTGAGCGTTGAACAATTCTTTCGAGGTAATTAAAAAACTCAGAATACGGATGAATATTTACCTAAAAAGTTATCAGGAAAAACAAATTGTTATGTTACGCGTTGGTCTGTTGATAAAATTAGCAAATTTTGTTTATTCCTTCTCTCAAATCACTCTAAAACATTAATGTGAGTTGGTTATGTTCTGCAAAACATAATTTATGACTTACCAGTATCGATTTGATTTTGTTATTCCATGTCTTATTGTTCAGAAGTGATGTATATTTAACTACAAAACACATGCTTCATTTTCTTACCAAAATGGATGTGTTGAGTAGTTGTAATTTACTTACCGTGTATTATGGACTGGTTATTCATGTGTATTAAAGAGAATGAAATGAATTTGTAAGAAAAAAAAGTTGCAGTTATCTAGTCACCGAGTTTAGTTTATTCAATCGATCACTGATTTTTTTCGTCATTCTGTTGCATTCCAAGTGGGGTAGAGAGCTTCCAGCTTTTGAAGGCGTTGTTTTTACAGAGTGAGGTTGCTAGCCTCCTACCTAAACTTTCCTCTTTACCGGACCTGGAGAGCATTATACCAGTGAAACATCAGCGCCTATCGACCATTCATAGACGTGGGAAATCGAAGGCAAGTATCTTTGCAAATGTGAGGCATACGAAGGTTAGATGATATTAGATAGTTGGAGGCAATCGGCAGGAAGCCTTGGATCTAGGTTTCGTGCTAGTTGGCACTCGTCAGCAAGGTTTATCTGCAACCTTGAAGGAACTCATGTCCCTTCTGAGGTTCAAACCCACGTCATCCAGTGCTGCAGTCAGAGATGTTACCACTGAGCTATTCGGGCTCGCGATTGATCTCCTGTAGGACTGTAGTGGGTATGTTGATTGGACACTAGTAAATAGTGCGACGTGTCTAGTCCTTTCTTTGGTGCAGACTGAATTACCATGATGGCGAGCTACATAGAATGGTGGCCACATTGCAAACCTGACTGATAGAATTCAGTCTGCACCAAAGAAAGGACTAGACACGTCGCACTAGTTACTAGTGTCCAATCAAAATATACGAAGGTTACATTCCGTCTAACAATTTAACGCACACAGTTATATCAGTGCACTCACAGAACATCCAGGTTTCGTTGATATAGCTCTATTGTTTTTCACTCTTTACTTTTATTGATAATGTTTTCTATAATTCTGGTATTGGTATTGTATAATTCCAACTGGACGAGTTAGGAGTAGATCCAATGAACTAACGTCTAGTGATCAACGTCTCATTATAGTTACTACAGTGTCCCAATTCTGATGTTATATTTCGCAGCCTACAGTATATCACGTCACTCAATTTTTAAAAAAAATGTATTTTGTGTTGTAGTTATAACAATAATAATTCTGTATCTTGGTACATCGGTGGTTCAGTGATAGAATACTCGTTAACTACGCAAGTGGTGCAGGTTCGATTCCTGGTCGACGCACTCCAAAACCTTCCGTAGTTTAATAGCCGATACTGAATCTGGACAAGAAGGAAGGTTAGACGTGAGGCTAGCAACCCTACCGCTACTGAAACTTAAGGGTTTGAAGCTATATATTCCACTAAAAACTCAATGAATAAGACATGATATCTTGTACAAACATACTATCTTAACATGCCAACTGTCAGATATTTATAAAATAGGTTCTGGTGGTATAGATATGAATAGTTCAAAAGGCTTTAAATTGATTGATAAGTCTGAGTAGATGTACGAATGACACTTATTCATTATACTAACTGTTTCAGTTGGGATGATGTAATGAAATAAGGGCTTCCAGATCAACCATTTCTTTACTAGGCCAAGACTGAAGTTTCGTAAAGTCCAGCTACTGTTATTACAATCGTCGCTATATTGTTCAAAGTTATGATTAAATAATGTTAAGAAGAAGAACAACAACTGCACTTAAAAACGCTTTCAGCGCTTAACTAAAGATTATTATCAATCTTTACAGCATTGAGAATATATGCTTCTCGATATAAATCTAAAAAAGATAGTTATTAGAAAGAAATGCATCGATCATTGGCTGTCCATTGCCTTTTCAATTTTCATTACATGTCACAGTCCTACTCTACATATTTATTTACGTTGTTTACAGAGTGTTTACACATTTCATTCAATTTCTTTATTTGTATTTTGTATTTTTCTTTATTCAACAACAGTATATAGGATCACTGTATAGTAAGGCTCACAGAAATACATACCACCATAAAAATACTACAATAAATCATGTCCAGTGGACAAAATTATCAAGTGATTGAAATAGATTATACTGAGTTTAAAAAAATGTAATTGACATATTTTCAAGTGTTAGTTTATAGAGATTCGATTGATTCCAAGTTTGATTACAAACTTTAATAGACAGAAGACAAGTAGTTCAGCGAAGAGTCTCTTTTCGGCGAATTCATTTTCATAGCTGTACAATCGCAAATATATATGGCTGTTTTGTATGTGTGTGTACATTAAATTTGTCAAACGAAAATACAATTAGTAAGTTCAGATGAATTGGATGTTGATATAAGAGAGTAGTAACAAAAGTGATGAGTTGTCACAAACGATTGTTAAAGAAGAGTTGCGTAATAACATGAATAGTTTAATGAAAGAGCTGTACTCAGGGTGTACATGGAAACAAAATATACGGAATTACACAAGGGTTTTAAGTAGAAAAATAAGCAAACAAACAAAGGAAAGTTAAGTCAAATCAACACAGTTGTTACCATGGGAGTAGAAGTGGTTGAATAATTTTCTTTTGTATGCACAGTTCTGGTTCCTTTAGCTTAATGGCTAGGGCTTCTGCGATGCAAAGAAGACGGAATCGTACTGTCTTTGGAAGGTCGTTCTTCACTTTGTAGATTACTTTGAAGGAGGCGTTTGTTGAGATGGAATGAACAGTGTTGACGAGGTGTTCGATTATTGCACTCCTTATGCAGCCATTACTTCCTTTCTGTAGCCACGCTGGATAGTGTTCTTTGACCCTTTTTGACAGGATACGCGTTGAACGACCGATGTACTTGGCTCCAAAGCAACAGGTGAACTGATATATACACATAGAAGTGGTCAGGTGAGGGATCTTGTCTTTTGGGCTTCAGCAGATCAGCGGGCGACTAGAGAAGACTACTCTCAAGAAAGTTCTTCTTAAAGAGGTGGAGATTCTCCTTCTAAGGACGACACTGAGTAGGTCTCCTTTGAAGTCGAGGTTCATATAAAGTATCTTTTTTGGCAGAAATGCTGTTTCTTGCTTTTGGATTTTTTGTTTGATGTTTTTGTCCACAAATCTTGATGGGTAACCGTTTTGTATGAAGGTTTCTTTGAGGAAGTTTAGTTCTTCTTCGATGGTATCAGAGCTGCAGATGCGTCGGACGCGAGTGGCAAGAGATCTAATTAAGTTTCTTTTCCGACTGATTGGTACCCAGCTGTAGAAGCTTGTCAGTTGGTCGTACCATGTGGGTTTCCTATGGATGGACCTTCTTAAAGTTCCGTCAGCTCTCCTTGTAAGTTCAACATCAAGAAAAGGGATTTTAGATTCGTTTTCAATTTTAAGAGTGAACTTTGTGGCTGGATGGCATTTGTTGAATATTTGCAGTAACTGATTGAGATCGTGGCCGTCATCACAAATAATGAAGATGTCGTCCACATATCTAACATACAGTTGGAAATTGTCAACAGTTGATTTGAGTGGGCCGTTCTCGAGGCTTGCCATGAAGCAGTCTGACTTCAGTTAGAGTTGTCGATAACCAGGTAGTACTGGACAGCCACCCATGACCTCACCAGGGATTGGAACCTAGGGTCTTCAGGTTACCAGATGAGGTCGTTGACTATTCATTCAGTCACTTGGATAGAATCCAATTAGATATATGTGAGCAGATAAAATCTTGTCAAGCTTTTAGACGCAACAAAAAGGGGATTATAGATTATTATATTATTGATCAAAAACAAAAATAGCCCATTAAGATATACGGAAGAAAAAACTAATCAGATTAGGTGAATTGAACCAATCAGGTATTTTGAATTCGACTAATACGTCTGACAATGAGTGACAAACAAACACTCTTTATTTCAATCAATGCAAGTTAACTAATGCAAAATATATTAAGTGATAACACTTTAAAAAGTAGTGTTGAAATGCATCGGTTTTAATCTCGCAAACGAAAACTTAAGAACAAACTCACAATTAGCAATTTACACAGTTCGAGGTGAAGTTTTTATTACAGTTTCCCTTGGAGACCGCAATTATTCGAATCACAGTAGATGACCTGCTTGATACCATAAATGGTAATCAAGAAAGCAAACACCAATGCATAGTTCCATATACTACTTTTTGATTGATATTAGTAGTCGGATACTACTCGCATCAACCAGCAGTGCTTGCTGACCCGATGGAAGTGATCTAAACACCAGACAACCGTTTTATTCGTTTTGGCAACGACCTAGTCAGTGATGTTCGGTTTAACTCAGCTCAAATATTAGAATCCATTCAAACCACCCAAACTCTGGCTACCTACTTAGGTAAACTTGTAGTACATTGAATCACTTCGATATGGTTAGTAAATACTACTGGTTGATGTGAATGGTATCGACCTACTCACATCAAACAATCAGTGGTATACAGAACCATGAAAACTTCAGAAATATAGAATTTATGTGCAAACATCTCTGCCAGAAATAAAACACTATATTTTAGCTATTAATGGCTTCGTGTTGGATAACTTAGTAATTACATTCTAAACTCCTGTCTAGTTGGTAAGCAGAATACAATGTTATATGTTTGATGAGCCTCTAGCTATCTAAGAAATTCAAAATTAGCTTTGTATATAACAGAACTATTTTAGTTTCTGTCTCTTAATTTTATTATAGTTATTTGTCAGGAAGGGGAAAGATATGACTCATCGTTTACGTGAAATGTAAATCAGACATTAACTCGTTCCAGATGTATCCTTTCAATTCTTCTAAACATTTTAAAATTTTGTCAACAATTTTTGTATTTATTTATGCGATTTTCCGCAATGATCACTAATAGTTAGAACTCAGTTACTCGGGACAGAACCATAGTTATTATGTGGAAACGGACGATACTACTCGCTTGTATAGTCTCAAGTAGTTGCAGTAGGATCTGAATGCAGGAACCACTAGCTGAAAGCTGAGTGCCTAAGCCAATGAGCCACTTATAAACAGATTGGTACAGTCATTAGTAGATGAACTTACGCCTTCCCGTAGAAATCCGTTCATGGTCTCTATCAGTTAAGTCATATTCACTGCTTTCATTATATAGCCGGTAGCACTTTTATTAAAGTTACAGAGTGAGTATGAATGCAAAATGTTCACTAAAACCGAAATGATGAACATGGAAGGTTTACCAAACCAATAGTGTACATGGGATCCAAGATCCGAAGAGAAGAAACGATGTATAAATTCATTTCAGCCATGAGTAACTACGATGATGCAGATCATAACTTCTTCCTGACATCTTATGAGCTTTATTTTAGGAATCGCGGTGAGTATTTCAGTCGTTAAAAGAATTATGAAACAATAATTCAATGAAAGGCTGTTTTATCCCTCTTCTTTTTAAACTATTATTCGATTATTTCGTGTGACACATTCATTTGTGTCTATACGCTACCAAGTTTACACATAATAAAAATAATAGGCAATAATTCTTCACAAGAACATACAATAAAATAAATCATATATTGCTTACAATACACTGATCATCCTTCAAATACTCTTCTAATCCTGATGTTTGATTAACAGTGTTTGGATTTAAAAATAAGTCAACAGTATCCGTACCAATGATAGCATAAGCATAAAATACGGGATTATACAGGATATCATTTCCACGTAGATTAAATAACCAGGCAATTTCATCCAATGCAGATAGGATTAACATTTGTGTACCTTTCAATTGCATTGTATGTCTAACACGGTCTATTTTTTCTTTCCATGTTGAACCAGAAAATGATAATGGAATAAACATGAGGGGATTCGATGAACGCAATGGACGTTGAACATTTTCAATGTGTAATTCAGACATTGATTCCCAGACTTGGTCAATTAAATTCGTATTAGGCAGATCAATTAATTGTCGACTTTGCGGAGTTTTATTCCCCATATTATCTGGTAAGATACCAGTTTCCGCTTCAGCATTACTTAATTCTTTGCATAATGCTTGAATTCCTGTATAAGGTATTTGTCTACCATCATAACCAATACATGAGCCAGGCGGTGTAGATGATACAATCCACTTAGCTTTTGTAGGGGAATCAGATAAATCATTTCTGAATAATATCCAATTTTCGTCTAATTCATTAGAAGCCTAAAATAAAGGGTAGACAACAGTGTTGAACAGTTGGTAAAGCAAATAAATATACTATGATTTAATCAAACTGGGCATTTCAATTTTAATTTGATTATTATTCTTTCGGGTTTCCAATGGGACATAGGGCTTTAACAACACCACTTCATTTCGCTCTGTTTTTTGCTGTCTTTTTTAGCCGGCTCCACAGTTGCCTATAAGTTTTTATTTCCTCTTTACATCATTCCCTTCATGTCACCCTCGAACTCACACAAGCCACACCTGCCGTTTCCTATTCTAGTTCCCCTTGAGGGTATGGGGTATGGTGTGAATGGAAATACTGAGGCTTTCATGGTTATTAACATTTTTTAACCAAAAAACACCTGTCATCCAGAAGAATCCATAGAATCTATTGCTGCTTTTACAGCAAAACTTCTCTTAGCACAGGATAAAACAGTCTGCCTGACTGCAATATAATCAATGACACTGAAATTTATCTTCAACGTGAATAGACTTTTACAGATCACATCTACATAATTATCTATAAACTACCTAACACAAAAATAAAATGTGTGAGTTCACCTAATGACTCTACATAGGTGGTCGATATCAAATGTAATTAGACACTATAATTTCATTCAGTAGCCAATTTTACATTCAGTTGAAAGAATTGAATGTAAGGATGGAAATGTTGCTCAAAAATCACTTGCATCACCATATAGGTGGCAGTTAGCCATGTCTGTTGTGTGAGGGCTAATGATACTATCTCGCTAGGCAGAACGGGTTTCGAATCCGTGACCCCAAGGTTGGAGATCTAACGCCTAAGCCAAATTTTGGTTAACCCCATCAACTAGAGGATTGATTGAATCTCAACGCCAAACTTTGGATAGACCGGTTTAAAACAGAAATCTAATTGTCTTTCTGCTTAGATATGTTATCCTTTGAGAGTATAACTGTTGCTTTCTACTATCTGATGTTCATTGGCGTATGCATAAAGTTCAGTTTGTCTTCAAGTTACTCGATTTCTTGACGCCTATTTCTTGGCTAGAGTCCTATCGTCTAATAAGCTGTTTGACTCCAAGTAAGTGATTTGACCTAAGTTCTCAACTCCAGAGTCATTAGAAAGTATTTGGTGGATTACATCATTTTATCTGCTTAAGGAAAAACACCCTTCAAGTTATTAAGGCCTGTTTCTATGAGTTCTTAAGTTTGAACTCCACCTTAGTTTCGTTTCACTAGGAATCCTACGTAGCTTAGGATATCTCATATATAATAGAGAAAGCCGTCGTCACTTCACTTTTTTAATAAATTATCACTAAAGCGCAGACGAACCGATGGTTTTGAAACGAGTGACTGCTCTAAAAAGAAAATTTGGACCCCTGATTGAACCATAACCCTAATATGCCCCCAGCTTAACCCTAACTCAACCATAACCATTTAGATTTTTTGTTTGGTATTCTTGTACTTCTTTCAATACTTGTTTCATAGCTTGGCTCTGATTAAGAGTTTCAAAGTCATTGTCACATTCGCGATTGTTGGCTATCTGTTCTTTAATTTCTCCTTTCAATGAATTATAGAGGATAGTTATTCAGTGGTAGCGTTCTTGTTTTTACTTCTTCATTTGGACTTTATTACGTGACATAAATATTTCTGGATCAGTACCTTAGATATCTGACCAAGTCTACCTTTACTGATATCAAACGAGACGTATTTATTTGAACCCAGTTCCTGAGACAGGTCTTTCATGTTCCATGCTATGAGCCATGCTTATTGTGAGGGCAGATAGTACCACACAATTAGCCAGGCTGAAGTAACTGGGGCAGGATTCGAACTTGGGACTCACTAGCTGAAAATCAAGTGCTTAAACTAATGAGCTACACCTTCAGAATGGGACATATGAATGGTACTACCATATTTGAGATAAATGATAAATCCATTTGTAATAGTGAAGTAACAGGTAGAACTAGTAATAAAAAGACCCACCTGTAACTGATATCGACCATCTGTCCATAAAGCAGCTTTATCTAAGGTGATGACAATAGAACAAGAAGAACCCGTGAATCCAGAAATAAATGCGCAACGCTGATCTGCAGCAGCTACATACTCATTAAAGTGTTCATCTTCTGTTGGCACAATGTATGCCTGTAAATTTCTAGCTTTAAGTAAATCACGAAGACGTGTTAAGCGTCCTAAACTGTTTAGCGCTTTCATTTCAAAATCTATACAACGATATGTAAAAGAAAAGAGTTTATCACTTGAAACAAATTAAATACAAGAGAAAAAAAGAGTACTGAACATTTACCTATTTCGACATTATTTACCTTATGATCAAAGAACCATTAGAAAATTTTAGAGCAAACAAGAAAATCTGAATATTGCATTTTAATTTCGTCAGACATGAAATTAGTGTTTATTCTGACAGATTAAAAGCTACTTTTGAATCAGTTTTGTATCTTTCACTAACAATGAAAATCAACAGATACTGAATTAATGCATTTAATTATTCTGTGACTGTGGTAGAGCATAACTCCATTATGGATAAGATTTTATTTTGATAAATCACACAGTGTTGTACAGTAATATTAACTGATGACGTTTCGAGCACAAACTATTGCTCATAATCATATCAACTCGAAACGTCATCAGTTAATATTACTGTACAACACTGTGTGATTTATCAAAATAAAATCTTATCCATAATGGAGTTATTCTGTGACTGTTTAGCAGTAATGAGAAACAAGCCACCCACTGATTACATGCTGATACCTTAGACTTTATGGTAAAGTAAGCATACCAATATTTGAAACCTCATTGTAACTAAGTTTTGACGAGAAGCAAATTTGCTGAGAGCCAGTCTAAATATATCAATTTATTTTATTTACAATCGTGACTACCTGAATTAAAGAGAAAACTACAGTGATTCATAGCTATCGACAGAAAATCACTCACTAGGTTCTCGGATCATACTTTCGCCGTCGGTGAACACATAGGTTTACTATTCATAAACTCTTCAAGAAGAGATTCTCAACAGTTAATGTATGTGAGCATTCTTTTTTTTCCAAATACTACCATGGTAATTAAACAGATTATGACAGTCATAATAAACAGTATAACAGCTAGGGTCACTGATACAGAGTGATATTACTGGTGAGTCAGTACAATTATCAGAATATCAAATGAACTATTAGGAATTTATTCATAGTGAATGAAACTACTTTAGGAATTTATATGACTGACCCAAAAAACTAACTAAAATGTCATTCTTTACTGTTCACAGACGAATAAAGTCATAGAATACTGTGGATAATTGATAAAGCATAGCATTATTTTCCCCAGCGAGTTAACTATAATTTACTGGGACTGAAAATGAATGCAGTCAACTATACATTTCCCAACAAATAGCAGAGTGATGAGTATGTAGGATAAATAAAATGGAACTTTTTGAAAATAAATAACTACGAAAACCATGTACATATTAACTCATTTGGTAATGAATTGCAGCTGTGGTGACGGCTGGTGATGGGACCTGGCAGGTGAAACCTTAAACAGGTAAAATGAGGGTCCAAATTAGTGACATACTGGACAAAAGCCAAATGTCTAATGCAATGGATCAAAGTCTAGAAGAAATGGACTTTCAGCATCTTACATGCTTTATGTAATAATCTTTCTACTTCCTCTCTCACCTTTACTGGCTTAAAGAAAATGACAAATGATTATCAAATCTAATGAGTAAGATTATAGTACGCACCAATATCTTTGACAGTGTCTGTCTGACAATCAATAGGCAATCGAAGTTTGACGAGATTGCCAAGTTTGTTAACTTGTCTTTGCAAACAAAATGAGAAATTTCTCGAGACAAATCTAGATAATTAAAAAGGCTACTACGCCAAAATAAAAGGTCAAGCTGATGATACTAATGCCTGAATATTTGTTAATACTCGAATATCAACAGTAAAGGAATTACGCTAATAACAGCATGACAAACTAGTACCATAATAAATCACTGTAGATAAAACGGCACCATAAAACCACTGTCATATATGAGAGAAGTTGCTAGGTGATAAGAGGAGGAATGTCTGAAAAACTGAATAGATCAGTTGACTATTTTTCCGAGGAAATAAGAAAAACTAAAGATACAAGCAGAGCAAAGAGCCTTCGCAAGAAAAGGGTTACAATAAGTATTTAACTTTTGTAAAAGAAACTTCGAGGACTACCGGCGAACGAAATGAAAACACCTACTTATTTATTCTAAAATGCTATTCTCCCAGTTTATAAACTTTCTTAAGGAAAAAACAAACAGATGAATAGTTAAACGAGCATGCAAAAAAGTATATAAAAAGCAGTTACACAAATCTTACGCTGTCATTCATTTATGACAAAGAAACAGAGTAATGCTTAGGATGATTTGTTACAAGATTTCATAATCTGTGTAACATGAGTATTCAGATCCTACAAAAATGTCAGGAATTTCCGCAAACCTTCCTAGAAAACAAATCAAATCCTTTTCAAAGAGTTCATCAACTTCTAGGCACGTCATTCATATGTGGTTATGGTTCGAAATTTTGTATACACATTTTACCATAGAGCGCTAATGATAAATATTACAAACAAAGCACAATGAGATGTCGCTAACACTATACACCTGGTACATTACAAACAACCTAAGAGTTATCACTACTTCAAACACATTGTGTTATAATTGAAAATATTAATGAAGTGTAATCCGAAAGGAAAGTTGTTCTCTTGTAGAATACCATTCTTAAATGAGTGCGTCAGTGGTCTGATGGTAAAATGCCAGCCGGTCCGGATTCAATTTACTGTTGGTGTACTCCCAAACCCACCTAGTTTATTTAGCCAGAAGTGAGGAAAGGTTACCAGTGAGACTAGCAACATCACTCCTACTGGAATTTCGAAAGCTTGAAGAAGTGGAAAATATTGTAGTAATAATAGTTGGGCAATGTGCAGCGACATCGCAAAATTCATGTCTGTTTCATAACGAGAAATTTACCATGTTTCCTTCCCACCAATGGAAACTTGGTTAGTAAACAGCAAAAAACCAAAAACTTTGGACAGTTATCACTATATAATTTAGTTACTTATTGAAAAACCGACACCTGGATCAAATTAACCCTAATATTTCAAATCTCATTAGCAAACAGTTCACAACAAAAGATGTCTCATCACTTGGTACTTGTACACATATACGCATATGTCCATTGTGTTATGAAAAACTAATTTAAATCTAATTTAATAGCAGTTTTATTATAAAACAAAAATGTACATAGCGAATGCTGTACAAAAAATATTATGCAGTAGAAAATATGTTATACAAAACTCTAACAGTTAAATAATTCTGAGAAACTGTGATAATATAAAAGAAGCAAAATGCATAGAACAAAACAGTTCTTGAATGAAGTCATCATAATTCACATCATGTAAGATGGCAGGTGTGTGGAATAGTTTGCAGGGATTTTTACGTATAATTGTTCTCTGGAGCTGTACACCGCATCCCGTCCTAAATAACCATATTCTATACTTAAATATGTTTTCAAATCATATGGTGCCAACATGTCTAAATCTTCAAATTTACATTGTTTTAAAGGGAAGAATGAACTGTATGGAAACAACTTTCTCTTACAGTCATATATACCGGGTAAATTCCAATTTACTCTCAAGGCTTGCAATCCTTTTTCTTGTTCTGATGAGTCTACATGAGATAAGGTGAACAAATCAACATGCGCCAAACAGGGATCAGAAAGAACATGTCTAGCAGTTCTTAAGTTCATTTTTAATAATTTGCAAGCTTTCAGCAAACCATTACTAGTGAAGAAAAATTTTATGCGCTTACAATCAACACCATCATACGGGAATTCTTCAACGCTTTCTACTACATTGCATTCTTTTGCTTTAAGCCATACACGTTTACTAACGCTCGCCGAAAAATCAATATACACATCAGAATCCGGATTCAGAAGAATAGAGTCATCCAAATTGCCTATTCCATAAATGCTAATACGGTTTTTTAGGCAATACTGCATTAGTCTCGTATATATGCCAAAACCATTAGAATCGAATTCTAATATCCCTAAGTCAATATCTGTATCGTGGGGTATGAATTTCCCGTTTTCACGGAATACTGAAAGAGCTGTACCACCATAAACAAATGGTTCTAGACCAGCATTTCTACACAAATTTAGAACGTGTTTTAATAGATGAAGTCTTAACGGCTTCAAGCATCGATTCTGTCGAATAATATGTTTGACATTTTTTAAGGAACATGTTCCGAACATGTTGAAACTTAGTAGTGATCCAGATTTCGCAGCATCATGTCCTTCATCAGTTACCGGTATTTCGTCATCAGATATATGAAAGAAAGGGAATTCACTTAAGTCTATGTCATTACTTGAATTAGGATGATCCATGACATTTGCACAGCCAGTAACCTGGAAAAAAATGAAGTGAAAAATAAGAAACTAACACGAAGGCAAGTAACAAATAATTTCATAAAATATTTCAAAAATCAACAAATATGGTATAAACATGCTGCAGAAGTAAAGGTCTTAAATCATGATTTAAAACCGTTAAGTACATTATGAAGATGTGAGAAAGAACACCTTTAACGTGTAAAAAGCATTATTCGTGTCTACTACTTATTCACTTAATTACCATTCAATGTAACGGAAATCGGGAAATCCTTAGAACGTTTTCTCAGGACTTTCCGATTTTGTTATATTAGTACAACACAGCTAACGTGCTTTCTCGGAAGTCCTGAGATGTTTAGTATAGTAACTTTTAGGGAGATTGCATCAAGCTATTCAAGTTCACCCAATTCCTCTAAATTTTCCAAGTTATATATAAAGTTTATAAACTTTATATATATATATAACTTCGAGTAGATAATAGTTATAACTATTATCTACTCGAAGTTTGAGCTGCTAGACTTCTTTTGTGACTATTGGGAAGTACTAGAACTGATTGACTTTGAGGACTTAATTAATTTTTATAAATCCAATGAGTACCTGCATAACCAACGTGCTATGAGGACGCCGTTCCACCAAAGTCAGCTTACGGTGCAGAGAGGAACGCCCTTGAGGTTGGACGCCGCTCCAATATTATCCAATATCCAATATCCAATATCTTTTTACGAGCTAGTATAAACCAATTTGATTTCTTTGCGCTCGCCTCTTGATTGTAAGGTAGAGGTTCCTGATCTTTGGTAAACGTCTGTGTAGCTCGTCCCGCCACTCGACTGTCGTAGCTTTGGTTGACTCCAACAGGAGTAGTGCTGGGATTAATTATATGGCGTCTGTAGTATGAAGTGTTTTAAGACTGTTACTACTGTGAATGGAGTTGATCCTTTCACCAGTTAGTCTTTCGGTATCGTCGTCAATGGAAAAGAGATAATAATAATAATAATAGATATAATTAGTAAAGGTATTCAGACTAACAGACAGAGAAAAAATAAGAAAACGTAACAACAGTCAGTCAACCGGTATACATATATATATTATATATATATATAATATATACCAGTAATAATGATAATAATAATAATAACAATAATAATAAGTGTAGTTAAAGCTGTCAGGAGAGTAAGACTGAAGGGAATGTGAAGAAGTAAAACGACCAGTTTAATTGTCTATCTTTGAATGGTATATGCGATTTTAAGGGGATAGGCCATTTGGATACAGTCCTTGTGTCACTGCAAGGTTGTCCAGCCTTCGCTTAAAGGCGTCCACAGATGGTGCCATAGCTACATCTGCCGGTAAGGAATTCCAGGGACGGCAAACCCGCAGGGAAAAGAAGTGGGAGCGCACCCGGGTCCTTGCCCTCTGATGAGCTATCCTTCTGGGATTTCCACGAGGGAGCCTATACCTACTCAATGGCAGAACACCTTTGTTCGGGTGATTCTGATCATTTGTTATTTTGTAGGCAGTAATTAAATCCCCCCTCAGGCGACGGTAACTGAGTGTGAATAGGCCTAATTTCTTCAGCCTTTCGTCATATGGTTTATTTCGGAGACCAACCACTCCTTTTGTTGCCCGTCGTTGGGCTCTTTCCAAGAGGTTGGCGTCTCTTTTAAGCAGTGGGGGTGCAATGATATTATGCACTTCAAGATGCGGTCTGACGTATGTTTTATACAACCTTAGAAAGAGCTCAGGAGTGAGTGCACCTAATTGTCTATGTGTAAAGTGTATGACCGCATATGCCCTCGCTACATCCCCCGTGTAATTCACGCTTGTGTCCATTTTCTCCGTTAGAACTAGACCTAAGTCACGTTCCGACGTTGAGCAGGACAAGCTTTCATTGCACAGGGTGTAACTTGCATTCTGCAGTCTACAGGTGCGTAACTTCACTACTTTGCACTTTTTCAGGTTGAAAGTCATTCCACTGGTTACCGCCCAGTCTTCCAGAAGCCTTAGATCTGCCTGCAGCCTATCTGAGTCCTCCGGACACTTTACCGCCCTCCATATCTTTACGTCATCAGCGTATAGAAGAGTCGGGCAGTTTAGACGGCATGGTAAATCATTGATAAAAATCAAGAACATCAGTGGTCCCAGGATAGAACCCTGCGACACTCCTGATGACGAGCTGTGCCAAGATGATCGGACTCGATTGACCTTGGTGCAAAATTGCCTTTCAGTTAGGTAGTCCTTCAACCATGACAGAAGTGGTTTACCTAGACCTACCTGGCTTATTTTGTGCAGGAGAAGGTCATGGTGAACAGTGTCAAATGCCTTCTCAAAGTCTAGAAAGATCACATGGACAGGAACATTCATATCCCAGCATGATGTCCAATCGTCCCAAGCTGATAATAAGTTAGTGACGCAGGATCTTCCTTTCCTGAAACCGTGTTGGGCTTCATGGAGTATTTTAGACCTATCCAGATATTCCCTGATGTGATCATCAATAATACTTTCCAGTACTTTCGATACCACTGGGAGTAGAGCTACTGGTCTATAACTGGTGGGATTTTGCCTATCCCCACCCTTGAAGATCGGAGAAAGGATTCTTCTTTTCCATTCCTTTGGCAGTTTCCCCGATTCCATGGAGTGTTGGAACAAGTCGCATAAAGGCCTACAGAGAGCTTCGGCGCACTGTTTCAGAACAGATGGCCTGATGTCATCACAACCTGGGGACTTCCCAGGTATAAGTCGCTGCAGCTTTCTCAGTACTATTGCAGGGTTTATTTGAGGGGTGGCTATTTGGTCTTCCTCCTGTGAAATAGTCATGCCACCATTTTGGTTCGTAACGGTAATACCCACATTGCTGTTTAGCTGTTTGGCGAAGGCTAAACTGAATGTTTCAGCCATCTCCAGACTAGTGAGATATTGACCGTTTTGGCCTACTAAGGCGCAAGCCCCTTGGTTGGTTGGTTTCCTTTCCGACATGAATCGGTACAAATTCTTCGGGTTTGCCAGGAGTTTTTTAGCAAGGTTAGCCTGGAATGACCTTCTGTCCCTCCTGACTCTTGCATTGCACCGGTTCCTGAGTTCCAGGTATGCATCATGGTCGGTCTGGCTTCTAGATACGCGCCACGTAAACCAAGCCTTCCTCTTTGCTTGCAGAATACGCTGCGTGCCTCTCTTTAACCATGATGATTTTCTTTTTGGCTGTGCTGTGACTAAAGGGACGGTATCCGAGATCGCTGTATGAATAATCTTTTTTACCGCTTCCCAGTGTTCATCCACAGACAGCTCATCCCATGCTAAGGGCCAGTCTGCATCGAACAAGAGCCTCCGCATTTCAGCGTAGTCAGCCTTGCTGTAACACAGACATGGTTGCGTAGCGTCCCACTGCAAGTGCTCACGGAGAACGAGGTCGAAACCTATGACTGCATGGTCACTACTTCCTAGAGGAGTCATGACCTGGACCTTTTCGACAAGAAGTTGGTCACTAGTTAGAATGTAGTCTAGTTTTGATGACTTTCCACTAGGGCCCCACCTAGTGTCGTCTCCAACATTCTCAGTCAGTCCCGTGTCCCGAATAGCTTGCAGTAGATTTCGGCCGAATTTTCCCTTAGCATACCCCGAGCCAAGGTTCAGTGATGGGGCATTGAAATCTCCAGCAATGGTGATTTGGTCATAGCCCGAGTCTCGTATCCCTGTGATAGTGCTGAGCAGTAGCTGATTGTGCTCTGCCCCACAGGTGGGAGATCGGTAGATGCCACCAAGTAAATGCTTGGTGTGGCCTACGGTGAAATGACACCATATGGAGTCTGGGAGTTCAATAAGTGGTGGGTCCGTTGCGCAAACACATTTAAGTTGCCTGTCAAAGTATATGGCAACTCCCCCTCCTTCCTTATTATCCCTGTCTCTCCTGACCAAAACCATATCACCTATACTGATTTCATTATCGGCGATAGTGGGGGTTAGCCTTGTTTCAGTGAGAATGATTATTTTCAGTTGCAGGTGTGCTTGGAGAATTCGGAGTTCACCTATTTTTACTCTCAGCCCCCTCACATTGCTATACAGGCAGCTGACAGTGAGTCTTACAACCTCAGCGTGTTGTGGGGTAGTTGACGTGAAGCTATCTGCTGGTAGGGAACTTAGTGTTGGGACTAATTGGCCAGTTCCGATGGAACCGGCCCATTGTGGTTTTTTCCCTTGGATTTAGGCAGGACACTTGGGTGGCACAGACTGTTATTCTCAGAACTGCATCGCTCGAGTGTCACTGAAGCTTGGGGACGTATTAAAGCCTCAGTTTGCTGCCTCCTTATGGTTCGAGGTCTGCTTTCGCAAACATCAGCTTTTCAATATTCAATATCCATTCCATGTAAGTGGAAGTTTCAGGAGAAATTCGTCTCAACTATTGATGATCAAAAACATTTCAGCATGAAGTTAACCGTGTCAGTGAGGATGGTATAACAGACAGTATACTGATAGTTATAGAACCGATTAGATTCAGTTCTTATAACCAACACAATCCATGTGTACAATTATACTATACACTGAATTACTACACTAATTGTAACAGCAAGGAAATTTAAACGAGTAATTGCCTTCTCCAGTGCACTGCACTTGCAACTACCTACATTTGTTAGCCCAGCAGTCAGCTAAGCAGACAATGGCACAATAATAATAAAGTTGAGCAAATTTTCATATATTGAGTCCACATAACACATATCACACTGCACCAATCAGCGCAAATGCATATTAAATCTACTCAGAGAACCTTTCAAATTACTATAATTCCTGTCCAAACATAGATAAGGAGAAAGATACATCTACACGTTAACTTCTGTTCCCAAAGAAGGCTCTGTTAGCATTTATAGGTGATTACCATGTACTAATAGCATTCTTTCGTCAAAATAGTACTGTTCTTCGCACGAAAATAGGCTGAATTGATATCCTGAGACGGGAAATCTTCATTGAATTATACTATGCCGAGAGCTGCAGCTCATACATGGAGTAAACGATTTGTGTAGATGACATTACCCTCCAATTATCCCATCTTCCTCATTATAGGGATATTTCGACACAGTCAGCCTGAAACACTGATCATTGCGACCAATATGCTATAAGTGTGTCGCAGTCAGATCACA